AAAAAAAAAAAAACAAAAACAAACAAAACAGAAAACAGCAGACAACAAAAGTACCTTTCATCCCATATTCATACATACATTCTTGTATGTATCTAAATATATGTACATACACGTGTAGTATATGTACATATGTATATACACACTATAGTATATGTATGTAAATGGCAACACTGAACGTTAAACGATTGGCTACATTGGGACAGCTTGATGGGGCTGTACCAGCGTACCATTTGAGCGAAAAGGCTTTGACGATATTCAATGGGAATCTCAAGTAGATAAAGGTTACAGGCAATGGGAAAGGCTGTTGAATTTTGCAGCTGTTGCTGCTCGAATTGCGAAGCTGTTAAAAGCTGGAAAGATCACCAAAGATTATCTTTAAATGTAAAGCTTAGCATTTTTATTCGCGCTGGTGCACAACATCGAGTTTCCTACTTGTTCATAGTTACCTCTCAATTTATGACCCTCTCTACTGTTTCCAAGACCACTTGAGTTTAATTCCTTTTTGGTTTCATAAAAACTTTAAAACATATATCCTCTAATAACGCCAATTTCGACTTCATTATTAACTGTATCTTCCTGCTTGAAGGGACGATAAAAGAACCATTCTGAATTCAAATTAGACTTTTCAAAATGTTTTGAAAAAACGTATATGTATATAACTGCATTATTTATTGCTGCATATCCACTAGATGTACTAATTTAGTAATGTCCAAGTCTGAGGTCTAGACTAGTATGACAGCTTAATAAATCGCCTCAAAAGTTCAAGTGCTGTATTATAGTTTTTAGCCCACCTGAATGAAAAGGCAGCTCAGAAGAGCGAGAACATTGTGTGCTTTTCTCATTCTCATCTTATCCCATCATCGTCAGCGTCATCCTCAACATCGTCGTCTGTCGCATTAGGGCTAAATTAATTAGCAGCTAATTAAACGGTGCACATATTTATATAGAGCTTCCTGTTTTGCTCCACCTCCCCACCCTCTTTACCTGTGAGTAGCTAATCTAACAGTGTCAGCCAAGCCCGTAGCGGCTTTCAGGTGCATTTTTTGCTCAACTTAGCGCCTTGCTGCAGTCACGCTGCATCTCCCACCTCCTACCACCTTTCCTCACTGCCTGCGGTGTTAAAAAATTAACCATTTTCATTGGCAATTGAGTGTGGTAAGCGATAGCGCTTTAAAAGCATTCATTCACCCGCTGGCTAATCCGACATACACACGTACACCTCCAGAGCATGCACACTTATACTATATAGTATAAGTGTGCACATACACATTTGCTCCACTTGCGCCATCACACTCAACTTGATTAATTAAATTGTTGACAATTTTAAAAGCATTGCTGAGTGTCGGCAACAAATTCAATGGCTGTCCTGCTTTACTGCCCATCCATCTGGGGTTCTCGCAACATCCTCCCAGCTCTCCTGCAACAGTAAGTGTTGCTGTTCTGCTTGTTCTGCTACTGCTGCAATTGTTGGTCGCGTTTTTATTGCCTTTTATGTTGACCACTTAGTTGTTGGTGACAAATTCACTAGAAAATTAGCTTTTCCCGTCCCCCACCAGGACATCAGTTTCTGCTGCCATAAATAATGGTGGGTTTTTCATGCGAACTATATGTATACTGACACCGAATGCCTGAAAAGTAGCCATAACTTGCCTTCACGCTGGATGGATGGAACGATAAATGCATGACTTCCAAATGAATATTTTCCGCACTTTCTAGTTTCTAGTTTTCTGGCACTAAACACAGTATACAAGTTGTTTGATCTTCAAAACACTTCAAGCTTTAACAATATGTATCTTTTCTGAGATCAGAAATTTGAAATTTAATATCCTTCTTGTAATAAAAACAACTTTTCCGCAGATCGGTCATGTGGCATTTACACATATGTATTAAAAACGAAGCTATTTGGTTATAAACTTGATCTATGTAAGGATACCTAGTTTTGTGTCCCTACCTCTATTCGGATCATAGTCGAGAGCAACAACAACAACAACTATTGAGGGGAGACATATTTTGTCTCAAAGAAAGAAGAATAGCATAAAAGTGAAAATCAAATTACTGATGAACAATTGTCAAATTATGTCTTAATATAAACTTTTTAAATAAACTACAGCTACACGTTGTTAAAATACATAATGTGTGTTGTTTAAATATAAGAAACATTTGGTTTATTGTAAATTGCAACCACATCTAAGTATAACATGTATATGTATCTGCCACCCCTCCTTTTGCCGCTTTCATACCTTTGACGTATTGATATTTTAATAAACCCCGAAATAGTTCGGGTAGAGGTTATAATTTAGTCACTTTTACGATATGCGGAACCATGTACGTGCTACGAGTCATTTGGATGGATATAGGAATAAATGGGTTTAGGAGCCTACTCACAGTTCAGACGTACCCAGGAGGGATACCCTCTCAATGCTTAACAATGATTAGTCATTTTATTTTATTTGGACGCAAATGGACTGTAACACTTGACGGCCTCTAGTTACTTTGATGGTCATAACCAATGACGTCCAAGGACGTGGATCAGTATGCAGTGCACATAAGGACTTAAATTAGATGCAACAGTAAAACAGTAAAATAAAAGGCAATTTTAATTGAAACAGCAACAGAACAATTACAACTAAGCTAGCCTGTCGCAAATTTGTGCCAGCCGGGCACCCGGATAGTTACATAAATACAGACACACACACACACATACAGAAACACAATAAATACATACATTTGCATAAAATGTTGATGGAGGCGGCAGAGTATTAACTTAACTTTTGCTGCAAACTCAATTAAAATGTTGAACACAAATTGCATATGTTTGTGAGCGTGATAGCGTATGTGTATGTGGGTGTGCTCGTGTGTGTGTATGTGTGTGTGTGTGTGTGTTATATGCGTCAGTGTTGCTCCGTTGCATAAATTAATAAACTTCATAGTGCAGAGAGCCGAGTGAGCGACACTTGCCAAGTATAAAAACTAAACGAGCTTTGAGCGCTGGGCGACACGTACAGTAGCAGCAATTAAAATTTTAGTGGTCGCCCGGTATCCAGCAGAGTGAGGAAATGGGAAAAATGGGGCGGGGCTCCGTTCCCTGCCGCACGCCTGGTCATATTTACATCACAGTCATGGGGGTGGGGAAGGGGGAGCGGGCAGGTAACCAATGGCAGCAACACGTACACAACGCTTGGTTTGAAGTGCTCAAATTTCAGCACAACACACGTGCTCACATGCATACAGACACACAGATACACACACACGCACACACGCAAACACAATCAGACTATACACGACCACTTCCGCTGCAAATCGAGAGGCAAACGACTGAACATGAAGCATAAATAAATTGTGCTTCATACTTTTATGCTGTTAGCCTGGCTTGTGATACGCTAGAGAAGGGAGGGAGCGGAGGGGAAACATCGACGCAGTGGTAATATTTGTAAAGCGCTTAATGACGCGTCTGCGACTGCGTGTGTGCGTGTGTGCGTGTGTGTTTGTGTGTGTGTGGAAACATCGACTCAATCAAGCGCTAGTCGTGCTCATGAGTTCGGCAACCAACACCAAAAGCATGATTCCCCCTGGATGTCATCAACACATCTTAGAGAACATAAGCTTGGCTTAATAGGGTTTCCAGGTAATAGTTAGGCGAATGACTTACAAACTCAAGAAAGCCACTTCAATCATTTCTATGTAACGGAAATATTCTGAACACACACTCAAATATTTGCCTGCATAGTGTAGATAAGAATTCTCTTCTTCTGCAATTGCAAGCAATTGGACAAAGGACAAAACGCATTAAGCTTTCAACGAACTTTCTTTCTGCACGACTAAATATAATTAAAAATAGTTTTGCAGTAATTTGTCGTGCGGGCACTTACAATTGCATTTAAATTGCAATTTGTAAAAGAATTTTGAACAACTAAATGAATTAACACCAACAAAAGAAGCAACAACAACATGTCAGCACAACTTTACAAAATGTTTAATGGCAACCATTCGTACCAATACAGCAGCAATAGGGACCACCATTCATATTACAGTTTGCGAAACAATGGCACAATACACACACACACACACACACATACATACAATATCAAATGGAGCTTTTACAGGACACGATATCAAAACAATTTTGCATAAATTATAACAATAAATACAAATTTGTGGCGAAATTGTGGTAATGTAATAGCATTTACGTTCACGCAAAAATGTTGGGTGCCTTATTTCTAAAGTATTCGTCTACACACTGTTTTTATTATTTTAACTAATTACTTTAACGCTTTGAATGAGTCTAAAACAAGCATTGATTACTTCGCAAATGACTCCAAACCCCGTTGGCGTAAAATAGGAATCGCTATCAAGGTAAATAACACAGATGGTGAAAACGAATTAACATTATCTACGAGTGTACATATGTATAAATACACCAGATATTGATGGATCAGATATGCCTTTCAAGGTTTTTTCCTTTATGCCCAATTAAATTGTTAAAATGCGTTATAAATTTAAGTCAAAGCAGGGATATTCTAATGTTAAATAGATTAGATCGAGATCAGACATACGATGCAAATCAATCTGATATGATAATAATATTTAGTACATTTGATGGTGAACCACTGTTTGAAAACAACGTGATTCATTTCCAAAAGGAAATGTAGTAGATTCTTCCTTAGATCCTCTAATGCTGCAACTACCCCGAGAGGTAGAGTCAAAATAGCCATGCTAATTGTAGACAAGACTATTGTGCGTTTGTATTTATATTAAAATTTCGAGAAATAATAAACATTATAACTGACACCACACATCAATAATCTTATACCTAAAGATCTACATAAGCGATTCTAGTAATAATAGTCGAAACACTTCAAACAAATTCTTCCCTAAGAATAAACGTTTCGACAACCGGGCCTCTATCGATCTAGTTCTAAATGAACTTTAATTAACTCTAGAAGAATTTTCCGTAAAATGTTAAACTCTAAGAAGTTATATCTTTCAATTTATGCGTACATATATTTATATTTGTGGCAACAACATATTTGCACAACTGTAAAAAGTTAATATGGAGACTTAACGATCGATTTCACCGAAAACAATGTCCAACGATCCAATAATGGCGACAATATCGGCCAGCATGTGCTGCGGGGCCATTTTGCTGAGCAGCGCCAAATGGGCATACGAGGCAGGGCGTATCTTGCAGCGATAGGGACGTGAAGTGCCATCGGAAACCAAGTAGACGCCGAACTCGCCCTTGGGTGACTCGACAGCGGAGTAAGTTTGACCCGGCGGCACGAATATGCCCTGCGAGAAATGCTTAAAATGATGTATTAAATCCTCCATGCCCGATTTCATCTTACGACGCGGTGGCGGGGTTATCTTTCGATCGTCTACCTTAACCTCGCCCTCGGGCATGAGCTGCAGGCATTGTTCTATTATGCGTATTGATTCGCGCATTTCTCGAATGCGCACCAAATAGCGATCGTAGCAGTCTCCATTCGCGCCAACGATCACATCGAAATGGATCTTATCATAGGCATCATAGGGCTGTTGCTTGCGAAGATCCCACTTGATACCGGTAGCGCGCAAGACAGGACCCGTACAGCCACAGTTGAGGGCATCGTGCGCCGAAATGCGACCAATGCCAATGTTGCGCATGCGCCAAATGCGATTATCTGTTACCACATCTTCGACCTCATCCAAGCGCTCGCCCAACTGTCCGATGTAGGAATGTAGGTCCTGAGAAAAACCCAGCGGTAGGTCATAGGCCACTCCACCAGGTCTGATATAGGCGGCATGTAAACGAGCCCCCGATGCACGCTCCGAAAACTCGTACAGCTTCTCGCGTTCTTCGAAGAGCCAAAAGAGCGGTGTAATGGCACCACAATCGAGCATAGACGAGGAAACGGCCATGGTATGATTTGTCAACCGCATTAGCTCCGCGAACATAGTGCGTATGAACTTGGCACGAGGAGGCACTTCAATGTTGAGTAACTTCTCCACAGCCAGGCAATAGGCCTGCTCGTTTGCCATGCAGGAGACATAGTCTAGGCGATCGAAGTAGGGCAGTGCCTGGACATAGGTCTTGTATTCGATCAACTTCTCGGTTCCGCGATGCAAAAGCCCAATGTGCGGATCGGCCGACAACACTGTCTCATTGTCCAACTCGAGAATCATGCGGAGTACGCCATGAGCAGCGGGATGTGCTGGTCCAAAGTTAATAAACTTGGTGCGAAATGAGCGATTTTCAGGCGGTCGAGCACGGTCGGTAGTACGCGGCTTTTGCTTCCACTGATCACCCACGGGGTACAGCATTGCTCCAGCGTACCGCTTCAAAAATTCTGGATCAGGATACCAGGTATGCGATTTGCTGGGCTCATAAGGGGCCCCCTCAGGCTCATCCCATTTCCGCTCCCCACCACCATCTTCATTTGAGTTCTTAGCCTTATCCCCCTCTTTATTGTGGTCACTGAGCATGGAAGAATAAAAAGGAGAACTCTGAATGAATTCGTCGGAAAGGAGATTTTCCATTTACCTAAATTTTCGGTTATACTGGGCTCCAAGCATATTTGGCCAACGCGGCTTTATACGCTTATAAGGATCGCTGGTATCGTTATATTTAGCTACAATCAGGAATCTTACAATTATAGCAAGAAGCGAAGGAAATGGTGATAATTTACCTGCCGCATAATATTGTGTGCTCAGCCATTTTACCTTTTCCCGCAGAGTGGTGCGATATGTGTCCAAATTCAAAAACTTGTCATTAAATTGACGTCTATATGCATCAAAGCGGCGGATTTCGCTTGGCGTGAAGAGCTTGTTAGCCAAATTGCGAACTCCCTTCAAAGAGGCTGGGACTTTCGTCGGCATTGTAGAACTAAAAATGTTATGTTGCTAAACTTTACCTTACACTGACAGCAAGGCCAACTCGATTACGGTTAAGGGTTGTTCCCGAAAAGTAATCAGCATTTAATAGTTATATTAAGAACAACTATGTTTACCATCGACTTACTCTTGCATTTATTTCATTTTTTCCAGATCTTCGATGATCACTATCATTTCTCACATCACAAGGTCTCCAAGCGATCCCTTTCGCCAGCCACGGATCACCAGACTCGGCTCGACTTCGACGAACGGGTGCACTGGGCCAAACAGCAGCGTGCCAAATCGCGTTCCAAACGGGACTTCATCCGGGCGCGTCCTTCGCGCACCTATCAGCGTACGACCGATTCTATGAATTTTAATGACCCGAAGTGGGCGGGCATGTGGTATTTGGTAAGTGGCAGCCATCTCACTGCCGACTAAAGGTTGGCCTATATACATATTTGCTTTTAATTGTATTAGAATCGCGGATTTGGCCTGGACATGAATGTGATACCTGCTTGGAGGGAAGGCATAACAGGCAAAGGCATTGTGGTGACCATTCTTGACGATGGCCTGGAATCGGACCATCCAGACATTGTACAGAACTATGTAAGTGAATTATATATAACGTTGGTACAAAAATCTACGAATCGTAAGCTCGAAACAAATCAATATAAATCTATATTAATGTGTACACTACAAGTATATTCCAAATATATTTGCAATTATAATTTAGCGATGTATTCAGTTCTCAGGATCCCAAATCGACTACACTCGAGAGACAGAAATTTATGAAGCTTGACTATGTCTTTACAGGACCCGAAAGCATCGTATGATGTGAACAGCCACGACGACGATCCCATGCCGCACTACGATATGACCGATTCGAACCGCCATGGTACGCGTTGTGCGGGCGAGGTAGCCGCCACAGCGAATAACTCGATTTGTGCGGTGGGCATAGCCTATGGAGCGAGTGTGGGTGGTGTGCGGATGCTGGATGGTGATGTGACTGATGCTGTGGAGGCGCGTTCGCTCTCGCTCAATCCGCAGCACATCGATATCTACAGCGCCTCGTGGGGGCCAGACGATGATGGCAAAACCGTGGATGGGCCCGGTGAATTGGCCTCGCGGGCCTTCATCGAGGGCACCACTAAAGGGCGCAAGGGCAAGGGCAGCATATTCATTTGGGCCTCTGGCAATGGTGGTCGCGAGTTGGACAATTGCAATTGTGATGGCTACACGAATTCCATTTGGACGCTGTCCATATCGAGTGCCACCGAAGAGGGCTATGTGCCCTGGTATTCGGAGAAATGCAGCTCTACGCTTGCCACTACCTACAGCAGCGGCGGGCAGAGCGAGAAGCAGGTGGTCACCACAGATTTACATCACTCCTGCACCTCATCGCATACAGGCACCTCGGCCTCGGCACCCCTTGCGGCCGGCATTGCCGCCCTCGTGCTTCAATCAAATCAGAATCTAACGTGGCGCGATCTGCAACACATTGTGGTACGCACAGCAAAGCCGGCCAATCTAAAAGACTCGACGTGGGCGCTCAATGGTGTCGGTAGACGTGTCAGTCATTCCTTTGGTTATGGCCTAATGGATGCGGCGGAAATGGTGCGTGTGGCACGCTCATGGAAAACCGTTCCGGAACAGCAACGCTGTGAAATCAATGCGCCGCACGTGGACAAGTGAGTTAATGAGTCGTCGGAATTTCTTTTCAGTTACCAGTATATTCAATTTCAACACTTTTTAGAGTCATTCCACCACGCACTCACATTACTCTGCAGCTTTCTGTGAACCACTGCCGATCAGTCAATTACCTGGAGCATGTGCAGGCCAAGATCACGCTCACCTCACAGCGACGCGGCGACATTCAGCTCTATTTGAGATCGCCAGCTAACACGAAGGTCACGCTGTTAACCTCCCGGTAAGTCATCTGATATGTATAATAGGAATATGTAGTCGTTTTGAGCACTTAAGGAACGATCCCTTTTTGTCGTACAGCGCCCATGACAATTCACGTTCCGGATTCAATCAGTGGCCCTTCATGTCGGTGCATACGTGGGGCGAGTCGCCGCATGGAAACTGGCAGCTGGAAATACACAATGAGGGTCGCTATATGGGTGAGTAAACACTATTGAACTAGGCTCCTTAGAATCTTAACACCCCAAAATGCTTATGTCTTCGAACTGAATTACATGCTGCGCTTTTGTGGAATTCTCACCATTGCTGCATTACTAACACCCAAAAATAACAAATCAAATCGAATCATCTCCTCAATAACCAACCATCATGCACGACTGCAACCACAGGCCATGCCTTGTTGCGCGAGTGGTCACTCATCTTCTACGGCACCACACAAACCATCGACCCGAACGATCCCATTTCGGTGCCGCGCTCCAGCAGCGCCGAGGCCACCACACCCAACTCGAGCACCACCAGCACCACAACCAATCTGCATCAGATCTATTCGCCGCAATATCCGCGCATATCGCCCAACAACTTCGGCAATACGGCGTCAGGCGGCGCGAAGGTGCCCTTGGGGAAATTGCCACCCAACAAGTCCATCTATGTGACCAACAACCCGCTTGGCGCCAGCATAATGGGCAAGCAGAACAACAACAATAATAATAACAACAACAAGCAGCAAGTAGCCAAGCAAGGATATCAACAAATATCAGCCACCTATGGCGTCATACTGGGCAAGGCGAACAATGGCAAGGCTAACAAGGCGAACAAGGGCAAGGCCGGCGACAAATCGAATGCAAACAAAAACGGATCGGGCAAGGGGAGTGCCAAGAAGGAGCAGACAACCCAAAGCACAACAGCAACAACGACCAGCAAGAACAAATATTACCGCATCTCCCAACAGCAAGGCTCCAGCAACAGCAACAAGTCGAACAACAAGCAACAGAATGGCGTGCAAACGCCTAGACCCAAGGCCAGTTCCGGTGAAAAGTCCGGCACCTACGACACGGAAAAAACGCGTAAAATTGTCGGTGAAATTAGCGTTGGAAGCCGTGTGAATGGCACACGCCTGCCGGTAAAGGCGGCCAAGCAGGTGAAGGACAGCTCCAGTTCCAGCTCTAGTTCCAGTTCAAGCTCCAACTCTGATGCTCGCATACCCAAGCTATTCGAACGCTATGAGAAAATCCAAGCCATTTTTCCCGAATTACAGCCCTACGAAACGCCCAAGGCCTCCAAGAACACAACATCTGCATCGAATAAACGTAAACAGGACAAACAGTTCGAGGTGGAGCTGCTCAAGATCTATGACCATGCCCGGCCTGGCAACACAAGCAAGCCTGCGAATACTAAGAAGTCACCATCGGCGCCACCACCGCCGCCACCGCCCCCGCCGCTGTCCAGCAGCTTTATGCCCGATCAGAAAATCATCAAGAAGCAGGAGCTGCTAATGCTTGCCGCCGGCGTCTTAGCCTCATCCGAGGAGGATGTGCTGGAGGACACCCATTCTGCTGTTGTTGTTGGCAATCGGAAGAGTTCTGGCGTCGGACCGAACGGTAGCGGAAATTGATTTTTTATGCAGTTTATTTGATTTGCCTTAAGCAAGAACACAACCAGACACGCCCTTACATGCCACTTAATATTTGCGTTGTTTCATAGTTGAGCGAATATAAGTTTATACTTTTTTATTGCCCTCCTCTTTGTTGTCACAGAGTTTCAAGGCAACAAGCACAATAACAACAACATCGCAACCCTCAAAAATAACAAAAAATAAAAGTTGTGCATGCAAAAGTTGTGCAGCCACTGAGCTCGCTCCATTCATCAATCAAAAGTCATGGGAAAGAATTTGCAATCGTTTTATGCTATGCTCTTTAAAATCAGGCTAGTATAGTTGCTTCAGCATACGATTCGTACTTTAGGGGTATTTGTTTATCATATTGTGGATGGAACTTATTCCATTTCCATTGATTTCGGAAGGGTTCGATTACAAAAACATGTAATGCAACTAAAAACTCTTCAACCTGAAAATACGCGTTATGCTTTCATTTACATTTAAATTCGAAAAACTTAACCTGATCTGCTTGTATTGATGTTTTCGAATACAAATTATTGAAATTGAAGTCGGATAAGGAAGAAATCATACTAGAAACGTTCCATTCATCTTCTTTAGTAAAAGTGCGTTGATAGTAGATAACTAGTTGTGGAACATTCTATATTTTTTATTGGTTAGAGCATTTTAGCTTCGGTATATGCCTTCTGTTATTATTTTTGCTTGCATCATTGTAAAAGTCATAAAGTTTGCGCTTCAATATTGCAAAATAATTTTTCTTCATAGCGTTTTGTGAAACTATTCCCCCCTTAAGTGATGCGCTTGCACTGTCAGGCAACACTTTGAGTTATTTTTCTTCTTCTATTTTGTTCATAGTTTTGTCGCACTTCATTTTATTTTTTTATATGACAAGCGCTCAGATTTATTGCTTCACTCAAGCGCTTGTTTGCGATTCATATATCATATGTTGAAATCATAATTTTCTTCTCAATTTTGCTCACACAATTTGAACACTACCATTTTATTTTATTTATTTATTGGTGAAACGGAGAAGGTGCTATCTCTGGATAGAACACACAGCTAATGTGATTTTTGTTCTGTATTACAGCGCAAGTTACGCAATGGGACATGATTTTCTACGGCACGGACCAGCCAGCACAGCCCGATGACCAGCAGCATGATAATCAAAAGAATAACTTCTCTGGCAGCGATATGTTGCACAACGATATAGAATTCGATGCCAGTGATCAGTGGCGAAACATGCAGCAGGTGAGTCCAAAAATTAGGCTAATGAAAGAATGTGTACACCACATATGGTATTTCATGTACATACCATAAGGTACGCGAAAGAAGTAACAAGGAAAACACATTTTGAAAATGCACAAAACCAGGGTAATCTAAAATTTTTAAATCAAGAAATAACTGAGAGTGTCATAGACGAACAAAAAATAAACGATTCTTATAAAAATTTACAATTCAAATTAAATTAATCCTTATGTTCTTTGGAAACCCATTGGATGAGAATTGGCCAAAGAGTGCCCAAAAATATATATCAATATGATTACGATATTACATAAAAAGACAGTTCGATTAAAAAATCATAACTTTTAAGTTTAAGTAGCAATGTGATATGTGTTCTTTTGTTTTTTGTATTATTTGGCAATTCCCTAAGAATTTTAGGGAAATTGGCAACATTCTTCAAGTAGTATTTTGTGCAGTTTCTCACAAAATGTGTTATCCCATTTACTTGTATTTATTTCGCATACCGTACTGCTGCATCTGCTGCTTATGGCCTGTCGCTTGTTGTTATTATTGCAGTGCTTCACAAACTGTTTGCAAGCAAACGGCAACGACGTCGTTGTCGCTGACCGCCCTAGTCGCGGAACCACGCCACTTGCCTGCCTGTGGTTCACCTAAGCCAAAAGCCAGTGCAATCAAAACTCTAGCAACGCTTTGCAAACTGTAAACAAGCTCAGTTTTAAGTTGGGTTGCGTGTAGGTAGCTTGCTTCGTTTTGTTTTCTTTAAGTTGAATTTCTGTTGTGTTATGCAGCTTTGCATGCTATATCCCCGATTTCCATTAACAACAAGTCCCAATTCTTGCCAAATTTTACAGCGTTATTTATGAATGAAATGTGTTCTATCATTGTTTATAGCTGCTCATAAATCCTAATGCAAAATGCTAGGCCGACATAAGCCAGCATCTTAATTTCATTCGGTTCTCATTTTATTTCAAATGCCGCCAACTTTGTACATTGCCAGCGGGCATTTTGCCAAAGTCGCGAACACATGGCTTTGCCACATTCACATTTCCTTTTTGCAAACGAGTACATACAGTTTTCAAGCCAATTCCCTCACAACTGTATTCAAGTGCACTTGCCATGAACCGCGCCTGCTGGTATGCAACACTTTTTAGTCCAAAACTTTGCCGGTGTATGTACTCGTATATTGTGTGGGGAGGGTTCTTTAACGTTTTGGCACCTACAATAGCCACATTTTTAGTTGCTGCTTTTTTAACTTTTTCATTTGCCAACAAGGATACAAATGTTGCAGCAACTCAGTGTGTGTGTGTGTATGTGAATGTGTGTTGTTTGGCTGTTACCAAACAAACGATAAACTAAAAGTGCAGTGACCTTAGTTTCTGTGTTTTAAAAGTTGTCGGGGGACAAACGGCTGGCTTAACTTTTTTTGCATAACAAACACGCTATGCCATTGCATGTGAAAGTACAGTTATATAAACGAACACACACATACACAGACTTGTGTATGTCGATATTCGCATTGTTAGACACTTTAGTTAGTCATGGGTCGAGAATAATGGAAGGCCTCTAAATAAACACACATAAGTGCTTAAAATGCCAGACAGCGCGGCAACATTGAATGAACGAAAACGGCAATCAGACAAACTAGCCGAGCTATAGAAGGAAGATGGATGGCAAAAAAGGACGGGGAGAGAGGAATAGAGAACGAGTCCTAAATGCTAAAGTGGCACACAACTCTTAGGTCGAGTTAGGTTGAACAGACCTCTGTCCGTGAATAAGCCCACGCAGAGGCATTGACACACGGACTCTACATTCCTGCACAGTCCTGTGGTTCGTGTAGCCCTAAACTGGGAGTACGGCTCCGGAAAAACGAGCCATTCAAATTTTGCTTGGTTCCATATATGGACACTTGAAGAAAGTAGGGAAGTATTTACTGAAACTTACTAATTGTTGGGCTGTCCAGTTTTATTCTATTTGCATCCTATTTGGTTCAAAGATCTCTGGAGCTCGACAGCTATTACCTGCAAACATTTGTATAAGTTAATTTGTTGTCTAACTCTAAGTGTACGCAGTAAAGGGGACTTATTAGTTTGTTAAAAAGTATACTAACGCCATGGCTGAACCGCATCTGGCTCATTCATTCCACCAGGTCGGTGCAGGTGTAATGGAGAGAATCCCGATATAGATCTCCCCATCACTCAGTCCAGACAAGAATTGCACACGTTTACTTTAAAGCCAACTAATGTTCGAAAATTGAGAATAAACAAATATAATTCAAGTATCAATAAATAGTAAATATATAATTATTTCTCTCTATATTTCAGGTCGCTGAAGATCGCAGCAATACCGCCGCGTGCCTTAAATGGAGCGACCAAAAATGTCTAGGTTTGTCATTTATTTTTATTTTTATAACACAATTCCTCTGTCTAAACTTTAAACAAAACGACAAAAAGCACAACAACAACAGCAACAGAGTCAATAGATAATTTAGGAGGCTGAAGAACAAAAATTCCAAAAAACGAAAACTGAATCACAATGAAAAATTAAAATTGTAAAAAGAACAACCAGATCATTTCGCAATCTCTTAACTTTCTTAATGCATTTCTATACAAAGTCCAAGTACTGTCACTATCATGCAGAAAGCTGGATAGATACTATATACTATTCATACATATACAACAAATTTATATATTTTTGTGCTGTAAAATGCAAAATTCGACAAATGGAAATCAAGCGATGAGAACGATTTAAAGAAAAAATCACTGCAAGTCCAAAAATATGTATTAAAATTTTTTAGTTAAATTTAAATGTAAGTCTAGATTTACATACACGCATACTGATTAAAACATAAATACATATATACATACATATATAAGCATATACATATAGGCGTATATAAGAGGTAGTTGGTGAAAATACGAAAGGTTGTTCCCCCCAAAAATGTTCGACCACTTTTGGCGCACAAAGTTCTTATTGTTAGTTAAATATGTGTGTACTTTGTTTTAATCAATTTAGTTCAATTTGTTTTATCATTTGTTTGTTTTGCCTAATGTTTTTAGTTTTACGTTTAAATAAGTGTGTGGAAAATTTGCCTGTGCCAAATTTTGTTTGTATGTTTAAATGTTTGTTTAAAGCGCCTTTTCGCTCCCATACCTCCTCGATAGTTTGACATGGATTCCTCCTTTTGATTGGTCGGCGACAGTTTTACATGCCCTTTATTTTGCAGTGCTGCCAATCCGATGACGGATTTCATATACTCCGCTTATTGGCCCTTTGCTTCCTTTATTAAATGCTTTAATTAATTACATATGCATGCATATAGATACAGTGTGCAGTTTGTATAGTTAACGGCTCCATTTGCATTATTTCAGCACAAGACTTAGCCAACGCTGCTTTAACGCACAGAAAGCCAGCCAAATAGTTGTAGCACAGTTTGAGCAGCACTGCCTTCTAGCGAATGCTTGCAAAACGCGCCCCAATTTCAAACTGTTTACATCTTGTGCAATTTACTGTGCAATAGCCATGTACACGTATGTAAATGTTCGATACAGCAGTTTAGAGTTCATAGTAAAAGACTGTTTCTTAAAGTAAAACATAAATCTTAATGAGATATGAAAAACCATTAAAACAAGGAACTAAAATTAAACGTACACTTAACAACAACTAGAAGCTGCATTCAACTTAATGTTAAGGCGCCAAAAAGCAAAATAAAAACTTTTTGTATTTTAAAAAACTGCTAAATTAATAATAATAATAATAATTAGAATAAATACGTGCAGAAGTTGTTGTGCAAATAAACAAAAAGAAAACTGAACTAAACTAAATGCTAGGCAGTAGTGTAGGGGAAGAGAAGGCATTTCTATGCGATTAATTATGTAGGCAACATACACCTTAAACAATAAATATAAATTGCTAAAAACAATTGCAAATTAAATTTAACAATTCATACAAAAAGTTCCTGCAGTTTTCAACAAAGTTGCAATAAAACAAAAACAAAATTAGGAAGCAAATAAGCATAAAAATGAATTAATTAGGCGAGGAGAGCGCACAAAAATTAATGAAGAGAAGTTAAAGCCGTGCGAGAAGTTTCAAATCTTTCTGATTCTAGTCATGAATTTTTGTGCGCCCCTCGCAATAACAATAACCATTTAAAACTGAAATATTCAAATAACATTTATCATACAATTGTGCAACGCAAAACTTTAATTTGTTTCCATATCAAAATAAAGTCGAATTGATTTAAAACATATCCTTCGAAATAATTATAAAACGGTAATATGGATTTGTTACAACTTCGTTGCTTTGTTAAACGCCAAACGCACATTATTATAATTATAATCAAGTTGATTTTTTATACATATACATACTATATACATACATACTACAAACGAGTATTTAAACAAGCATAAAACAAAATCAAAAGCAACTCGAGTGCAATAAATAATTAATTAATATGTAATCCTCTGTTATTATGATAAGCAACAATCATCCAACAACAATTTGCCAATTTATATTTAACCAACCAATACATATTTATTTGTGTACCTCAATTATGATAATATTTTCAGGCAATTGCGGAAATTCCGCAATGACTTAGATCCTATTTACCGATCAGTTTGCGGAAGTCCCCTTATACTTTTTATTGCCCCTTCTCTTTTCAATATTTTATTTACACATTGCATTTATGTAATGCAGTTTAGTTTATGATTTCTCAAATTAATCAAAATCTAGGTGGTCGGGTGTGTCAAAGAAGTGGCGTCGTCCATTTATAAGCTACAACCATACATATGTCCATATACAAGTATGTATATTGATTATTCTCCATTACCTTCAGATGGAGTGTGTAGGCCAGCAACTACAGGATTCATGTTGCTCCAAAACTTCCATTAGTAGTCCCAAGTACATTACGACGCCTACTATTCCATACCATTCCTATTAATAATGGGATTTCAGTTTCAATGCAGCATAGAATATTCACCGCTAACTTCTTCAGATAGTGGGGAAATAGAAACAAAAGAAATGATCAGCCCATATTCTCCTTCATTTTCGGGCAATTTCTGTGACACATCCCGGTCGTATATTGTTTTAAATGAATAATCATATCGAAATGGCACAATAGGTGTATTGTGAAGTTGTTAGTTTCGACTTTAGTTGTTCGAAATGGTACAAAATAAATGTTTTACATTTTTCGTTGCTGATTTAAAGTATAGAAAACAAACACAACTCTTTTACAAATAGCATCCTTATACACAGTTATATTCTAACAACCAACATTAACCACAAACTTCAACAGTAAACAATAAACAATCGTGGTAGCAAGTTAATAGTGCATAGAAAACAATATCATATTCACCAAAACTTTTAAGGGAGTACCAAGAGCGGCGGCGGGAAAAAGAAGAACTAAAACCAGTTTCGCTTACCCTTATAATTTAAAGAATTGAAATGCTCTTCCTTTTGTTTAACTTCTATGCTGGCGTCGGTACTTAAACATAAACATGACTTAAGAATTTTGGTAACAGGAATAAGCACGAAAAGTAAATGTACGTGTAGGATTAAGCATAAAAGCCAAATTAATTTGTAAGCCTGTACTAGAAAGGAAAAGAACAATTAAACGATTAATTAAAAACTAAAATCTAAACTGGTACTAGGGCGTGGGGTAGCAATTAATGTAAGTAAACTAATTGAAATTCTAACTGAACCATTGTAAAAACAATACAGAACACAACAACAATTCAAGTTTTTTAATGTAAAAAAATCGAAAAGAATTGAACTAGCAAACTACTTATATACTGATATGATATGATGTACGAGTACTTGTAGGTATGGTACATAACTGAAAATGCCGCAATTCTAATTCAACAATTTTATGTATGTTTGTGTATATATCTATATATTATCGATACAATTAAATGGATTGAAAACAAATCGTATGAAAATTAATTAATAAAACATATTTTAAACAAGAAGCCCATACTTTTTTAAAAGCTAGCTCTTCAACAAGCGCGGTCCAAAAACCAGCCAACCAACTCCATAGATCCTTTGCTTTATGCCTATAGGTAACATATGTACGTTTATATGTAGGTATGAAATCATCCAAAATTAATGAATAATCCAAATTCTAACTGCGCTTCAAATGTTCGTATTTCGAAACCATAAAAAAAAAACAGAAACTTTCAATTTAAAGGTGAGTTTAGCTAATACTCTATAGACACTAAATTGTTTTGTAACTTACTCCTAACCAAAAGAAATTTCCGAAAGTATTTTCATTTCTCCACTGCTGCTGTATTGAATTAACATTTGTAATTAGCTTTCGTTACGACTTACAACTTTTACTTAACAAATTTACAACTCACACTTTTTCATGCTCAACGATTTCATACTACATACAATTTATGCTTTCCAACACTGGTTGCGGTACAGAAAACACACATTTTTACAAGCTGACCACCACGAGCATGTTTTTGGACTGCGCTTGCTTTGAATTGTTACAACAACAAAAATACATTCATTTGTTAAAAGTAAAATTTAAAGAATTGTTATTATTATTGATATTATGTATTGTTATTATTTTTCGATCGTTTGAAAGTACCTTTCCATTGTTGCTTTTGTTTTGTACACCATTTCTTAAACACATACTCAAAACTAAATTTACTGTCTTTTCAATCACTTTTCCAATTTCCATTCAAAGCTCAGCTCGGCTCAATATTAATGCGCCGTTTCTGAATCACTTTTTCTTGAGCTGAGCTGAGCTGTGCTCTCTCTTTAAACTAACTCTCTAACACTTGAATCTTTTCATTCTTCCCGAAGTAAGGTAAATGGCTCCTATAGCTTTTAAATCTTACACCCGAAAAATTAGTTAATTCCCTTCAAATCCCATTCACAGAATGCAATGCATCCACCTACTATTACCTCGGACTCTGTTACGACCAATGCCCTGCGCACAGCTACCCCAGCGCTCATGCCGATGACTCCGCAACGGCAGGGGCTTCAGATAACAGAACAGACCAATCCATTGGCGAAGGTCGCCCAGAAGTTCCCACAAATGAATTGCTCGAGCCGGAGAACAGCCTGAGCGAGAAAAGTGATTCTCTGCTGGCGGAGGATCGCCGACGTCGTCGCCAGTCGGTACTGCTTGCCCAGCGTCGCATATGCGCCGCCTGTGACAAGAGCTGTCTACGCTGTACAGGACCACGGGTCTCCGAGTGCAGCAGCTGCTATCCAGGGAGCCAGTTGCGCCAGTTACCGGGGTCCAATGAGACATTTTGCTATGTGTACACGGTACGGAGCACGGGCAGCATCGTTGACGTTTCCAATACCTCGGCTGCGACTGGCGAAGGCCAGTCCTACAGAGAGCTGGCAATAGTGCTGCTCTCGATAGTTGCAGTTGTGTCCTTGGTGGGCATAGGCGTGGCAGGCAAGATTGTTTATCAACGACGTAAGGAAGCCGCGCGTTCCAACGACCTCTACACGCGAGTCGCTCTTATAGCGGATGATGAGAGTGACGAGTGCAGCGACGAAGAGATCTTCACTGCGCGCATAGTCAACGGGTCCTTCCATGATGTCCTAGCATATCATGATGAGCAGAAATTGCATCCCATTGAGGACCATTCAGCGCCGTTGAAGAGATGGGCGGATGAGGAGAAGAAAGAGGAGGTAGAGGAGGAGGAAGAGGAGATGGAGCACGCGCAGTTCCTGGCAGCTGATTGCGAAAGCTAGACTGAAGTTTGAAACCTACAACATGCATTTGTAACTCACGATCAGATTCAAGATAAAGCTCAATTTTAATCTGTTTTATTGAATTCCCTTATACACACTACATACTTTTACGACTATATACTAGATAGATAAATATTTAATTAAAATGTTTTGCCACACACGTCATTCACATTTCATAGCATGTAATGCTACCTATTTATATATACACATGTACCTACTAAGTTTTCAATATTTGTTATAAGCAAATAAACGTATTTAAAAGTATTACCCTCAAAATTGTGAGTCTTTTTAGATTTGCAGTGGAAGAAGTGTAGTTTATAGAAAGCCGTTTGACTTACAGTTTACATTACTGTCGGGTTCCATTGATTTCGACCTATCTGGCAGATGGAACGAGTTTCACAAATAGTCTCTCTCATCGTAAATAGTATTTTTGATAAAACTTTATTATGGTAGGGAAGCCAATTGCCAAGAATTAAGGAACATCACATTAAATACATACTCGTACATGTGAGGGACAATATTTATTTTTTATAATTTTTTTGTGATTTTGCAGTTGAAGTGGCAAATATTTTACATATATATAATATGGGGAGTACGTATTACATTAGGAGATAGATAGGAACTGCGAATCGCATCCGTAAACCTTTATTCTGCACCTTGGCGCCATCACAGATTTGTTAAAACAGTCTTGCAATGCAGGCGGAGTTTGCTTTTGTGGACTAGTATCGAGTTGAGATTAGCCAGATTCAGTCTGCACTTGGTGAGAGTAGCCAGGATGGACGGCTTAAGTCTCTGTCTAAGACAATATTTCGAGATATTTCGCCTCCTCAGCTACTTGCAACGTTTCCCCATTAAATCCACTTCTGCAGTGTCCTCTGCACAGTGTGTAGCATACATTTGAACACATAGCTACTGTTGGAGGAGAATACTTGTAGTTTATAAGTAATGAAATTATTTGAAGTGCTAAATTTGAACACAACGACTTGTATGTAACTAAGTTTGTAGTCTGGCAACGTAAATTCTCTCTCTCTCTTTACATCATTTGTCATTCTCTATATTTTCGTCATACCATTCGTCATACCATGTCATACCATACACGCTTAGCATGGGGAGTTCAAAAGGTGAAGCCGTTGAATAAAGACACACTCGCATTATATTTAAAACAATATCAAGTGTGTGGAGTGCATCTCCTAGTCATATTTGCGAACTGCAGAGGGCAGTGGTGCTGAATAAAAAACGCAACAATTTTACCGGCCGAGAAAGCCGCCAACAGCTACATTGAGCCGGTTGTTTTATCTACTGACCAACCAACAAGTTTTTAATAGTACATTTTATGATCCTACCTCCACCTGACACCTGTTTCATGTACTATTTGATTAAAAATTTTCTCGCCAAAGCGTGGTTTCTTTATAACTTTAAGCAGTTCCATTCAACCCAGTCCCCAGGCTTTAATTCAATCGAGCATCACTGAGACATGCTGGAATGGAAAGTTATGCAACAAGGGCGTAGACAGCTTTTACCGAAGGGGGGGCCAAACAATTAAAATGTTGATTAAATAATGCACGATGCATTTAAAAAATAACGTATGCATATGATCAATGAAAAAACTTCAACAAATCCAACTCGGATCCATTTTAAGGTGAAATAGTGCGTCATAATAATGAACGTGTGGTCGTCTTTATATGCCAAAGTTTTTTGAGGCCGTTACTAAATTTGAAATTAAACAATTGTTAGGCAATAAATTTAGTTAGTAATTGCTTCGAAATAACATACATTTTTATTTAATCGGTGACGATGCACATCATTGCGAAATCGGTATATCACTATCTCCAATACCAGTTAGTCAGCACCATACTCGTATTGGGCAATATCATACTTACCCACACCAATGGCTCATGAGCCGGGCACACAGCAAACACTCTCCCCCAGAGTGTAGCGGAACAATGACAACAGTACCTCACCGGTACTCAATCGCCTCTGTTATCAGCTACTACGACAAAGCGGCACTGTCAAGTGCAATTCATAGTCAGTTGCGTTCCGTCAAGTCAAGTATTTTATTTATTCTTGCCTATTTCCTTATCGGTGCTTTATAGCTATATAAGAGCCCGGTCTGATAGGCACAAGCAATAGTTCAGATTCAATAGCTAAAGAAGATGCAGCCAAAGCTTCTCTACCTGGGGCTGCTCCTTCTTGCCGCAGCAGCCTCCTTCGGCAGCGCCTGTAAAACAATCGAGCAACGTTTTGGGTTCGCCGATAGCGGAATCTACGTGCGCTTGCGTCGTGGGGAGAAACTGCAATATGAATTGATGAAAGGAAGCCAAACGCTGCAAACTGTGACGTTGGACAACTTTGTGCCCATCGGAAACTTTGTAGCCACGCAAACCGGCTACAAGATAAGCGACGGCACCACAAGTATCGAATTTAGCCTGATCAAGTCGGGCAGCGATGTTACCCATGTACGTGTGTCCCGCGATCGGGTGCTGAAGGGATCCCAGCCACGCGACTGCGTTGCTCTGAACACGGGTCGCACACACTGGTACAGCGGTCCGGAGCATCGTCAGCAGTATTGGCCTGTACAGTAATTTTTCGTATTTGCCCAAAGAGGAGTACAATGTGGGTCTGGCCGAACGCTATTGGTTGAATAGCGATGGACTTTTCATCTATGTATCGGAGAATACGCCCCTCTTTATCGACCAAAATGCACCGGGCTATGAGGATCAGTTGTGCCTCAGCGCTTTTACCGCTTTGCCATATGAAACACGTTTAGAATCAGCACAATTTACCTATGATCTGGGCATAGCCCGGAATGCAAAATCCGCCCATATGTACGCCGTGACAGCGCTCCTGGGGCGACCTGAGGGTCATCCAGATGAGCGGATGGTCCAGCATCCCATTTGGTCTACGTGGGCGCTGTACAAGGCCGAGATCACAGATGAAATTGTGCGAGAATTTGGGCAAAAAATTATAGATAATGGCTTTGAAAATAGTCAGCTAGAAATCGATGACGACTGGGAGGATTGCTATGGCGCTCTTACGTTCCGCAAAAACAAGTTTCCCGACATCAAGAAACTAACCGATGACCTAAAGGCGCAAGGTTTTCGAGTAACCCTCTGGATACATCCATTCATCAACAAGAACTGCACTGCTATCTATGATGAAGCCCTAAAGTTGGGCTATCTGGTGCTCGATCATGAGGGAAATGCGGAGACCCAATGGTGGAATAGTAAGCCCAAGGATGCGGCCTACATAGACTTCACCAAAAGTGAGGTGCAGGCTTGGTTCAGCAAACGCTTGCAGCGTCTGCAAACAGAAGACGGCATCGACAGCTTTAAGTTCGATGCAGGCGAGACCAGTTGGGTGCCAAGCGACGCAGTCCTTCAAGGCGACTCTCAGCGCACTCCGTTGCAGATAACCAGCGACTATGTTCGCACTGTAGGCGCTTTTGGCAGCATGGTCGAGGTGCGATCCGGTCAAGGCACTCAAGATCTGCCAATTTTCGTGCGCATGATTGACAAGGACTCTGAGTGGGGCTGGAACAACGGTCTGGTGACTCTCATAACAACGCTCCTGCAAATGAATTTGAATGGTTATCCTTTTGTGTTGCCTGATATGATTGGCGGCAACGGATACAATGAGAAGCCGCCAACCAAGGAGCTCTTCCTTCGCTGGCTGCAGGCCAACGTATTTATGCCCAGTCTACAGTTCTCCTTCGTACCCTGGAATTTTGATGAGGAAGCCATCGAGATTAGTAAACGCTTTACGCAGCTGCATGCACAGTACACCCCCTACATAATGGAGCTCTTTCAGCGAGCTGTGGACACTGGCGAGCCTGTCAATACGCCCCTTTGGTGGACTTCGCCTGAGGACAATGTCGCACAAAGCATCTACGATGGTAAGTTAATACTTGCACACTCTCTCCACGCTCTCTAAACCCTTAAATCGCATTGTGTTATCGGGCCTTCCTATCTATAAATTTGTCTTGTTAACCTAGCAGGGAAATGCAGCTATTCAATCGTATATCTGAATTCGGCCAATTCTGACAAATAGTGTTTCGAGTCTCTCACGCCAGTTAAAAATATAACTTATAACAGCTTCATTAGGGGAATATCGTATTAGACCCATGAATTTTTAAATTATTATTCCTTAGACTCCTACAACCAATACATAGCTCCACATATTTTAAAATTACAGAGTTTATGCTGGGAGACGACATTATAGCTGCACCAATCGTTACTGAGGGTGCTGTAAAGCGCGATATATATTTACCCGCTGGCCAGTGGCGCGATGGTAATGGCGAAAACGTTTACAAGGGTCCAACCTGGCTGATGGACTACTCGGCGCCTCTGGACACGCTACCGTTCTTTATGCGCGTGGGCTTTGAGCAGAGGACATAGATTTGGCTAAATATATTCAATTTATTGCATATAAAACGCGAAATTTGTTAAAGGAGGCGTGTTAAATGGCTAAAATTGTAGTTAACAGTAAAATGAAAATCTATAAATAAAGTATTCAAAAATATCACAGTTAATTTGGCAGAACAAACAAACGAATGAATAAGGATCTGCTAGATGACTTGCGAGTAGGTCTGCTTTTTGTACGGCAGCGTTTTTGACTTGGATTTGAGGCACACTAAAGACGAGGGATGGCCACGGAGGTATTCCTGAAGCATTGGCTCAAGGCCATCGCCAGATGAGGGGGTGGATGAGATGGCAAAGGTTAGGTTTGAATTTTGCTTCCGGAACTTCCCATATTCGCGCTCGAACTCGACTGCGTCTTTGGTCAAAATGTTCTTCAGATTTAGGAAGCTAAATGGTCGAATTAAAATAGATTATTATAATAACGCATGAAACATTTGAATGATTAATAAGATTTAGGGCTGAATGACTTCGATGTAACCCTAGTAACATCAAGAAACAGGCTACTTACTTTGCTTCCATATTCTTGCGCTCATGTCGAACATTCTTCTCATACATGGCCAGTTTAAGGGCGTGGACGCGCTTCGCACAGCGTCGCCATTGCTTCTTGTAGCGATCCTTCGTCTTGGACAAGTCCAGAAAACGCTCATTCTGCGTGCGCATATCACTGAGTACCTGCTTTAAGTCCCTTCCATCTAATCCCTGGTTGCCCAGCTCCGACAGTTGTCGCTCCATGTGCAAGATGCGGTGCTTGAGCTGGGTCCTCTCCTTCGCTAATTGTGAGTTCTCCTGACGCATTTCCCTGTTGCGGCTCTCGAATAGGTGCAACTGCTGCTCCATTTCGGCCTTAAGCTTGCCTATGTGCTCTTCAAGTTCGTGCAACTTATGGTCATAGTCTACAACTGGTTGCTCGCTGGTGCTCTTCTGCACCTTCTCGTACAGGACCTTGTGAATGTTGAGCAGCGTTTTCTCCATTTCTGCGACCTGCTGGATATTTGCCCCCAGATTGGCACAGTCTATTTTATGCTGTTCCCTTTCCTGCTCCTCCACATTCCGCATGTATTGCTGCTCCTTTCGAGTGAGCTCGTTTTGAAAAAGCTCCATTTGCCGCTGCTTCCACTGTTCGAGTTCCTGGCCCATATCACGATCGAAACTGACTGGGTCAGTGTCGGCGGTCTGGTCAGAGCATTGTGTCGCTTCACCTACACTTTGCTTACAGGTATCGTCGTATTGGTGGACATTACCATCCACGTGTGACATGGGAGCACTTTCTGCATGAGCCACAGAAGCCTCAAGAGATTTTCTTGCACGCAGCTTCTTTTTATTAGGGGCCTTTACATTGATCTCTTCATTACATGGGTCAGTTTTGACACAAGTGTTCTGTCTCTTCGTAAACAATTTATTGGGAGTTACTGCTACCTTTACGTACTCATCTTCCTCTTCCGATGAGAAGATTTGCCGCAAGTATTTCTGCATTATAGATGTGTGGGGCTGTTCAACATTGATACTACATTCTGTGGTATTTTTACGGTTGAAGTCCCCTCTTTCTTTCGAGTGAAGTGAAGAAAATATGTGTGCAGTATTTTCTTCAACATGTTGCATCTCATCACCTTTGTGTACACAATTCTCCTTGTTTTTACTTTTCTTTGTCAGTCTCTTCTTGTTGTTGGTAACAGACTGTTTTTTAGGAACTCTTTTCAATTGAATGTCTTCATCGATTTCCTCTAACTCGGAAACTCTGCTTATAGGGTCTGTGTTTTCCGATTCTAGAGAGGACATTTTTCTACGTACAATCTTTCGTTTTACCAATTTCTTGGAACCATCGGAATTTATGACTTTCGTAGATTTTTTTCTCAACTGGACCTCTTCACATTCCGTCGTTGTATGTTCTGAATCTTCAACAAGTTCGATACCCTCAACCAGTATCTGAGGAACTGACTTCTTAAGGACCATTTTTGTCTCCGATTTGACTTCATGCGTTACACTAGTTTCGTGAATAAAGGAACTTTCATCATAGCTCGATTTAACAAAACTCGATTCAGCGTCTTTGCTGCAGTTCATGTCAGCATCTTCGGAAATCTGTAAGTTTATTTTGCTCTTTCTTGGGCGATGACAGCTAGTAGCGCTGGGTTCACCAATATAGGAACTTTCCTCACAGCTTAATTTAGCAAAATTTGATTCAATGTAATTTTTAGATTTCTGAAATTCTTCACAGTCGTTCAATTTTAACACTTTTTTTATCTTTCTAGGTCGACGAGAGAACTCTGTTTTCACCATTTCCTGACCATCTGAAACTGGTTGACATGTTGCTGCTATAAACAATTCTGTTTCTTCCAATGCTTTTGCCTGATCATTGTTTACTTTAACCCAACGAGCGCTCAGGCCCTCTTCGGTTTTAGTGACTTTGGCTTTCTTTTTCTTGGCTTTAACTTTTGGTGTGTCACCCCCAAAGACTTCTTGGGCCTCACTTGATAGAGCATACTTCAACTTATTCTGGTCCATTCTTCGCTTCTCCCTCAAACATGATTCATCCTCTGAATCGGTGGCTGTGCTGAAATCTACGCCACTAGAAGTTACCGATCTTCTTTTCTTCTCCCTAGTAACTACAGTCTTGGACTTACGGTTTAGTTTCTGCCAGACACAGACCTTTTCCTCACTATTACTATGATCCAGGAAATGATCATTCAGCGTTATTATTGTGTCGCTGTCACTTTCTTCACATCGTCTTGGTGGTGACCGTATCTGAACAGAGGTTTCGTTTTTCAACACTGATTGGGCAAGATTCACCACATGGGTCGACTTTCTTTCTGGAATAGGCAGCACCGAAAGGGATTCTACAAGTTCACGTTCCAGAGCTTCAGTTGTGGAAACTATATTGGCTCTGCGCACACTTTTCCTCGAGCTTTTCTTCTCTGCTTGTGGCAACGTTTTCAAGTTGTCATTTAAATCGTGACCACAGAAGAGCTCTTCAGTAGATTTGGAGCCTATAGCCTGACTACTCATTGAAGTCATTTCTTCCAAGTTATCGGTCTTATCGGCCTCTTCCAAGTCACAAAAAAGCTTTTCTTGCGCGTATGCTGGGGCATTGATAAGCTTTTTACATTTACCCATTTCTGTTGATTCCGATTTCAAACCTAGGTTACTCATTGAATTTATTTCGAAGTGAAGCCCCCCTTTATCGACTTCTTCCATGTCACACAGAAGATTGTTTTGTGCATGTGTGGGGGCTATTCTTCTGGATTGCTTCAAGTCATGCAGATCATCGTTTTCCTTTTCTATGGGCCTAATGGTTCGGTTGGTTAAGACAACTGTCTTTCCATCCAGAAGCATCTGTTTGCTGTGTTTTTTTTCTTTGGATGTTGGAACTGGGACTCTTGCGACATTATTATCGTCGATTTCGACATGCGCGACTTTATCAGGAAAGACCTCAACCGGCTTTTTATGGTGTCTTTTCCGTTGAGCGGTTTCTTCTGTACTCTCGCCTATTGTTGATAGATCCTGCTCTGCCACAAATATGCTGGGTTTTCTGTGCCGCCTAGGGTTACTCGGCTTTTGTAACTGAGATTCGTCAGTTGGTGTCAGCTGTTTCTTCAAATATTGTCCCGTGACATCAACCAACTGATTTGCTTCCAATTTTTTCATTGCACTTTCATTCTGTCGTGGTGAGTCTGAAGTTTTAAAGTTGCACAGCCTTGACACACAAGATTTGTTATTTTGAACGACAGGCGCATCGAGCGATTTCTTTTTTGTTGGGGTCTGCGCTTTTGCTTTTCCATCCGGCTCTTCCCTATGCACCGATTTCTCGTGATCAATTTCAAAATTGTTTGGTTTGGTATTTGGTGCCTCCACTGTATTAGCACTCAATTTATGTCCGTTGCGGTTTTTGCACTTGTACATGGCCAGTATTTCAACATCAGAATCATCATCCATTACTTGGGGCTCTTCTCGCGTAGACGAACCTGATAGCTGGCATTCTTTGGCTTCACTTGTGACTGGCATTGGCTCTTTTATTATCATCAATGAGAACTGTTGCCTCAAACCATCATCGCTGAGCTCATCCCTTTCAAAAGTCTTTAAAACAACATCATTGTTAAGTAGCCTCGTAAATTTCTTCTTGTTTGCTCGCCCTTGGCGGATATCAGTAGATGCATCCAAGTTTTGTATAGGATCGGATTCAGAGTTTGCGTGACTTTCAGATTCCGATGCAGAAAGTTCTGCGCCCACATCTAGACTTGCTATAGAAACCTGATCTGGTGAAAATGGTATATGTTGGACTCCAACCTCAGAGCTGCTTTCGTATGCAAACAACTCTTTTTCCTGTAACGATGCAATAATTTTGATAGCTTCCAGCTGCTCTTTGGAAGTTTCATCTACAGCGCCAACCATGTCCTTGCTCGATGGCAACTCCTGCTCCTGGCTAAGCTCACGTGCGACGCCATTCATGCGTTTATTCAATGGCAATTCTTGCTCCTTGGGCTTCAATCGAGTGATGCCGTTTCTGCGACTACTCAATGGCAGCTCTCGCTCCTTAGGCATCGCACTTATAAGGTCGCTTCGGCTATTGCTTATGGGAAATTGTTCCTCCTTTGTCGTCTCATGTACGACACAACCCCTTTCACTTCTCTCGAACACCTCATTATTTACTTTTGTAGACGGTTCGCTGACCATTTGTCGGGAATTAATGGTCTTAATGTCCACCGTGAATGTATACTCCATAATAGGTTTAAGATCCCGCGCACTGCCCATTCGACCCAAGCGATCAAATACAAAAATTCCATTGCGCACATATCGGCGAGTGTCGTTAAAAAATGTGTCCGCCGGAAGTAGCTTTCCGAAGTCCATACGATAGTTCGCTGGAATCGAAACGATTATATCATGTAACTTAACGTAAACAAACAATTTTGGCTCATGCAAGACAAGTTTGGAAAACTTACCAATGACCGTGCCATTAAGGTACATATTAATTGGCAAATAGAATATGCGTTGAAAATAGAGTCTTATGCTGCGAAGCGAGGACTTGAAGCGTAGCCCAAGAACGTCATTCAAAGGATAGGAGTCAGACTCGTTTAGTTTCAGCTCAATATTGGTCACATTGCCAACGAAATCGAATACAAGAAGCACTTTATCTGTGGGCTCTTTGGCCTGGTGCAGCGACTTAATCAATTTATTCACACTCTTTAATTCCTTCATCTGCAACACTACCTCTATGATATCACAATCGATCATCGGATCATTGCCCACCTGAAGCAGTCCCAATTGCACCAATGACTGCACATAGACATTTGCCTGGGACTGCAGCATGCAGGCAGTGATCGAATGACCGGGCGATCGCAGCTGGGCGCCGGCAATCGCATCATTCGATGGAGTTTTGCGCTACAAGACAATACAGGAAATTAATTGAGAAATTGAAGTAATTCATACTCGCACTCACATTATTAAATTGCATGAGGTGCTCAAACTGCTTGGTATTCAGCAAGGACTTCTTAACTATGGCCAACATGAGCAAAACTTCCGGCTTGTGCGATCGGAACTCATTGCTAATGCATATCAACTTGTGCCAGAACATTTTCAGCTGCATCTCCGTGCCTGTGCTTGCCTGGCTCACAATTGGTAGTCCCCGTATGGGCAGTAGGAGCGTTCCGATTGCCTTGCGCTCCGTGCCCGGACGGCAGGTGTAGAAGACCACCTTCACTGGTCGATTGTCCGTCTTGATACGCTTGATTCCCGGCATATCGCATTCCCAAATGCAGTTGCTGTTGAATATAATGGTCTCGGCCGTGGTCGATGGAGCACCCTCAATCTCAAAGTCCACTGTGTTTAATGCAGCATTCATAACAATCTGTTCGCGCGTGCGCAGCGTCGGAGAGGTTTCCCCATCGCGTCCACGTGCATAGAAGTTGATGCCTGCAAAGACAATTTCGCAGTGAGCTGGATGTTGGCATCACCATGAAAAACATAAGAAATGTTTACATACCTTCTACCACGTGGAGTACAACACAGTACACCTGATCCCTGTCATAGCTGCAATTCTCACTGTTATTAGAGCCGGCCAGGGATGGCAGTGTTGGTTTGTAGCGCTTCACCATTATGCGGCATACGAAGCTAGAAAACTTTAACAATTTAATGGAGGGAAAATACAATATCGCAAGACCGAGGCAAACAATCAATTATAACTGCCCTCAACTTGCTCAAATTTAAACGTTTATATGTGTATTCCTGTCGATGTGTATGTGAGTGTATTTACGGTGCTATAGGCCAATTAATCGATCTTTTCTCAGCCGTTTGTCTTGTTGTTGTTGCTGTGCTTCAGATGCTTTGAAAGCGAATGCAAGGCCAACCTGAAATTATGTACGAACCCGAACCCATTCATTTTTAAAAGGCAACCCTGCGGAAAAGTTTCCATGACAACAGGTTCACAACAAGAACATGTGCAACACCTGTCGCCAACAGTGATGAAGAGGCATTTTATATCCTGAGTCCGTATAACAATATTATCTTAGAATAATGGTTGTGTTAGCCCTCCAACGAAGAACTGTGAGATTCCACAGTCAGAATTATAACAACACTAACGAACATGCACGCAGTGCAGAACCTGGCTGCACTTCTATCAGCACAGGACATTTGTCTACGTGCTCCGCGTTTGAATCTGCTAATCAATCTTTTAAATTGAATGCATATATTTGAATTGTTCATACTAATGCTACATATGTATGTATGTACATATGAATGTAATACGTAGGAGGCGTGGCAGAACCTTTCGTACATGTATGCATGTACATACATACATATGTATATGAACATGTCCATCTTTAATGCAGACAAAAGGTTGTTAAGTATAAGTAAGGTAGCCAAAAAAAATTGGCATGTATGTTTCTCTAAGGTCGGAATATTTCAAATAAAGGCTGATTTTAAAAAGAAATCCATGGGTACCGTTTTCGGTGTCATCTTTTCCGACCGATATTACTTGTGGTGTACCTTTTGAAATATGTAAATGGCTCTAGCTTCTTATAATAGCTGAAGCATACAACTCTCATATTCGTCGTTTCCAATCAATCAACATTATATTCTTAGAACATAATTAGGATATTCGATTAATAATAATAAGTGTGGAGCAATTCTTGGGTGCTCAGCTCGATAGACCCAATTGGTCTATTCTATTTCACTCGGCTACATATTCCGCTAACATCGCGTGGCCGCCCTTTGGCTCCTCTGCAGTGTCTTCTTCAGCAGCTTCGTAGTGGCCTTGCTGCATCCGATGGTTCTTCAGCGCCGTGCCCTGTATGAAACGTTCACCGCAGATGCCGCAAGGATAGGGACGCTCCCCGGTGTGCCGTCTTATGTGGAGTGTGAGGTCGTTTGACTGCGTAAAGCTCTTCTCGCAATAGCTGCATTTGTATGGACGTTCGCCGTTATGTATTCGCATGTGTTGGCGAAGTTTATAGGAGCGTGAAAAGCCTTTTTGACACACCGTGCAGACATGCGGACGTTCGCCCGTATGCTTTCGCCGATGGCACTGCAAGTCGGAAGAGCGCGGAAAAGCCATTTCACAGTATTCGCATTTGAATGGCTTTTCGCCTGTGTGGCGACGCATGTGTATGATAAGATTCGATGACGAACTAACAGCTTTGCCGCAGAAAGCACAGAGGAAACGTTTGGGCTGGTTTTGATGTTTGTCTACCAGCAGAGCGGCCTTCGATGTTGATGGTAAGCTCTGCGTGTGCATCTTTTTAATGTGTGCTGTCAGTCGATCCTTGCGATTGTATTTGCATGGGCAGTTACTGCACTGGAAGATTCTACCCTGATCGATGACTTCTCTGGCTATCGTTTTCTGTTCCAATGGCATAGTGGACGACTCTGTTTCCCCGCTGTGCTGCAGTTGCATGTGCAACAACAAGTTCGTCTCCCACATAAATTTGTAGTCGCATTTGCTGCACTTCAGCTGTTTCTCTGTATTCTCACACTGTACACGTTTGTGATGCTCGAGAAGCGCGGGTGAAACGCTCTTGAAGATGCAGTGCGGGCAGCCGTCGGTAATACGCTCCAGGGGATGCATAGCTTGTTGATGCTGATAGAGCTCATACTTGCGTCGGACACGGAGCTTACAGATGGAGCAGGTATAATGTGGTGGAGCATTCGGCGCCTTGCTATCCTCATCCGTTTCAGAATCATCCAAATGCAGCTCGTAGCCAAGTTCATTGGTAATGGAATAGTTCTGCAGCGATCCATAATCAAAATGCGTGCCCGCTGGTGTGTTTTGAAGATGGGCCCGCAGTTCAGCAATGCTGCTGAAACTACAATCGCACACCTTGCAGAGAATACACTTTTGGCCATTAGCATGGCGATTGACATTGACTAGAGCTTCGGCATATGGAAGTTGGGCCGCATTGATGCCATGCCGCTCGATGTGCTGAAGTAAGTTTGCAAGCCGATAGAAGCGACGGGCACACCAACGACAACGATAAATGTTCGCATCCTTCCCATGCATAAGAACGTGCCTGGTGAGATCTTTTTGCATGCTAAAGCTGCGCTTGCAATCTGCACAATTGTAGTTCGAGGCAGCGACCTTGCTGGTGGTGTTTTCAGTGTTTTCTGCCTGCAGCATTGAATTAAGTGCAGATGAATTAAGTAGGGATCTTTATATGGGTGTTAAAACTGTGGCCATCTCACCTGCTTTGGCGCCACTGCATCCTCTTTAACGTGCACCTCTTGATGGGCCACATTCGTGTGCAACCTGAGGTTTCCCTTCCACCGAAAGCGAAGCGGGCATTTCTTGCATAAAAAACGCTTTTGTGTATTGCGACATAGCGTACGATAATGATGCTCCAACAGCTTCGCATCCACAAACCTAGCATTGCAGTGTGGGCAGACATTACTCGCTTCCTGCCATTCGTGGAATTCCAGCTGATGGGCATAAATTTCGTGCTTTCGTGGCAGGGCCGCTCGGCAAAGTTCACATACATAACGAGCCTGCTTGAATGAATCACCGACAACTAGTTCTCCCTCCGAGTCACTGTCTGTTTCGCTGCTGTCCAAGCTGAGCTCGTTACCAGCTTCATTGGTGATCGAATAGAAGCGTTCCAGCTCCACGCTTTGGGCTACATCTTTCATAATGCGCTCGACCAATTCCTGTTTTAACAATGGAAGCGCAAGCTCTGGATAAAGTTGACATGAAATACTGGCAATCGCTGCTGGTGTGCTACGCTCATCTTGAAGGTTGACGACATATTGATGGGTCCGCAAATGTGTGCGTAAATCAGAAATTTTTGTGTGTTTTGTTAGACAAATCATGCACTGAATTTGCTTGCAACCATTGGGATATGCTAGTTGTGTTAGCACCACTGGCATTCGATCAACAGCCTCACGCTTCACCAAGGCTGCAGAATTTGTATCTGTTGTGGCTGCCAGTTCCTCGTTGTGTACACGCATATGTGATTTCAATCCATCCTTGCGATGAAATTTTCGATCGCAGTATGCACATTCAAACTGATCTCTGTTTGGCTGATGCATGCGCATGTGACGATTCAGATCCTTGCGCCACATAAACACCTTTTCACAATCGGAGCACTGTAGCTTTACGGAGCCAGAAGATTTAGGTCTACCTCTACCTCTGCGAGTGGCAACAGGTTCCGAGGCTATTGGCTCCGAATCTGTCGGAGATCCCGCTGTTTCTCTTTTGAAATGCCCCAACTCATCATGATCAGCAGATTTATGATGGGTGCAAGCATGTCTAACGAGATTCTGTTGCCACATAAACTTTCCCGGGCAATGGGAACAGACCAAACGTTTTAACGCATTGTTGCACTGGCTCTTCATGTGCTGCTTTAAAAGTTTGCTGCAGACAAAGCCAATGTGACAGACACTACAACTTTGCGGTGGCGCCGATCTCTCCTGGCTGTGTTCCTCCAAAGTGTGACGTATAAGACGATGTTTTCGTGTATACGGCAAATTGCATGGCTCACAATAGTATTTGCTGTTATCATCATCAACAGAAGGCTCTTCATCCGAGTCGCTAAGGCACAGCTCGTACCCATGTGCGTTTACCACTGCATAGTATTTTTCCATATTCTGTGATGCAATGTCTGAGCATATCTGATGTTTGATCTCATGCATCTCCATCTGATTGTAATGCACCTGGACTATATCGCTGTTCATTGTTAGGTTATCTAGCGTTTCGATGTTGGCATGCAGGGACAAATGCTGTCGCAGTTCAAGCACTCGCTGGCACTTTAAGCCACAGAGCTTACATTCCACAAGTTTTAGTCTGCCCGAACTGTAGAGTCGCTCCGCAAACCGCCATTCATTGTTAAGCGTTACAGCCTGGCTTTTGGCATCCCTTTTTTTATGAGAGCGCAAATGAAATGTGTACTTGTCCTTGCGCAGAAAACCTTTGCCACACATCTCACACACGTATGAGGCTTGCTCAAAGTGAACACGCGCATGACGCTGCATATCGCGGAACCAGGAAAATGTCTTGCCACACACATCACAAGCATGTCTGCCACTCTCGTTTAGGGATTCTGTTCTATCATAGAGTGCTGGACGCCCACGTCGACGTTTAATGGGCGACTCCTCCTCATTTATTTGCGTTTTACTGAATGAGACAATAATTTATACGATTTTGGCAATAATATTGTTCGGCAAACTTACGCTTCGTTCTGCTCTTTTATTCCTTCTCTATTTCTGTTTTTACGCAAGCTACGCCGAGTGCCCAAGGGCTTGTGGTCGTCATAACTAAAGTCACATTTAAAAAAGAAAAACATTAAATTCGGTACTACCTTGCGTGTTCCAAATACCCACTCGTCTTCGTGTACTGCATCTTCCATATTGTTGTCTTCCTTCTCCGGTTTTTTCTCAGAGCTGGTCACGTTTATATCCGTGCTGCTGCTACCGTTTTCAGGCAGATAGCGCTCCTCACCAATGTCAATTTCAGTTTTTATGTTCACCTGAATTGGTATGTCTATGGGCGTCTCGTCCAGTGAGCTTGCGCGCAGTTTTGACAGCAGCTGTTCGTGCGCCTGTTGCGCATCCAATACAAATACATAGGCACTTATCAAGCGTTGGTGGCACTCGCTACAAATAGATTGTGGCATATCTTCCGCGTGTTCAAAACATAGCTTAAAGTTAGAACAGCGAATGTAATATCACACTGCAAGTCATCTGTAAATATTGTACTGCGCTTACGTCTAGTTTTGTCAACTCTCGCAACACCTCCAACAAACTCTTATTTGCACATTTCTCGGAATGAGTTGAGAGTTCAACGAAATGGAAAGTCTGTCTCGCGCATGTTCTACAAATTTCGCCCACCGGCATTTTGGCGACATTTATTTGCCCAAAACAATAGCCCAAACGGTTCGTTATATTTACGTTATTTGTAGTAACAATGCAACTGCAAGCGGCGTGAAGATGGTTGATATCGATAAGTCGATATTTTATATTGTTGTCGAAAATAGTGTTGGAACAAGTGGCAGAAGCAATGTGAAACCATTGATTATGGTGAATGGCAAAAGTTATCCCCTTCTACCTCGACAGACGGCTGAAATTTTAAATATACATATGTACATATTTAAATTGGACTAAACAATGGTAAAACAATGCAGGACCTGCAACAGCAGGGATATCTCGACCTATTTCAATACGCTCGATGCCGTAAGCAAGGAATATGATGGCAAAACATATGCTCAGCTTCTTGCGGAGTTGACAAGTCTTCATGTACAGGCTAATAAAATAATTTTCTTTAATTTAGTAACTAATAGTTTGTTAAAACTTTTTAGGATTCAACAATACTACCGCGATGGATATGTCGCAGCTGCACTCAAAGGCTTATTGGTGCCTATGATTTTGTTCTTCAAGCTCAAGAAGCAAATGAACATTTTATAAACCATATGAAATTGGAGACAGCATCCGAAGATGAGAAATGTTTAGACGAGCAGCCGGTTATCTTGTGTAGCGTTACTGGTAGAGGAAAGCCATTATTGGCTGGGAAACAAATTCAGCAAACAACAACTATAGATCCCTTAGTATATCAGGAGGAGGAGCACTTAAGCGACAGTACCAATTATGAGCATAAACTGTAAGTTGGTCGCAAATATTTGTATATTTAAGCACTCATTAAAATTAAAACAGCGAACCGGACGATGAGCCCCAAATGCGAAGGGCCGGAGGCAAGTACAATTGCAAGTTATGTACAATGTCTTTTAAATACTTGCATAGTCTTAGACGTCACGAGCAAGGAACGCACAATGGGAGACCCAAGCGTCGGAACAAACGAAAGGAAAATCGCCGCCTGATTGACTTTGATTTGAATTGCTGTAAATCAAATGGTTGCAAAACAATAGAATGTATGATTTGCTTGCAAAGGTTTGGTAAGGTTTCCCAACTACGAGCACACTTGGAAGCACACCCCACAGATATTTCATTTGAGGCGCATGGTCAGCCTATTGCACGCATTGCCGAGAGCTTTTATAGAAAAGCAGAGGAGACTACTGCAGATGACCTAAAGCAGCACATATTCGATGATCTTGGAGCCGGTATTTATTCTCCCTACTACTCCATTACCAATGACGTTGGTTATGAGATGAGCTTGGATAGTTCCGACACAGACGGCGATAATGACGAGAAAAGCTACGCTTGTGAATTGTGTGAATCAGGTACCTGGCCGCGTAAATTTATGGTTAATGAACATCATTTATTGAATCACTCTTGGCTGGAGGCAACAAACGTCTGTAAAAGATGTAATGCACGTTTTGTGAATGCCGATTTGTTGTTACATCACACGAAGACACTGTGTCGCAATACACAGAAACGCTTTCTATGCGACGAATGTCCCCAGCGCTTCTTCTGGCGTCACAATTATAGAATGCACTTGCAGAGTCATAAGGAAAACAATGACTTGGCGATAGAGTGCAAGGACGAGGTGTATCAGTGTGACAAATGTGATCGAAGCTTTGTGGCTAAAAATTCATTCACCAAGCATATGCGGGATCATGATAATGAATCCATAGTCTGTAATATATGTAAGCGTTCATTCAATCGTTTGGCCTTATTCCACAAACACTTGCTGCGCCACGGCATCGCCGTTCACGACTTGCCTTTGGCAGAGACATATCAAAAGGCTGGTGCGAAGTCATTCGGTCCGAAGAAAATTATTTGTAAGTTATGCGATTTGGAATTTGAAAGAGTAAAAGAGTTGCGCAGCCATATTTTAAGTGAACTTGAAGTACATGAGGAAGCCAAAAACAGTTACATGATAGCAACTGAAGTTGGCTTCGAGTTGCAGCTTGACGATACGGATAGCGATGATAGCGATTTTTCCACTGAGCATAAGTTAAATATATACAACTGCGACCTATGCCAATTACAATTTAGGCGGAAATATGAAATCAATGATCACCAAATGAGCATCCATGCATTTGATGAAATGCCATACTCCTGTGGTAAATGTATTTTTACCACCGTCAGCAAGGTCAGTAATAAATTAAAATTTACACTTTCATAGCACTTTTTACCCTTTCATTATTTTTTCAGAGCATATTGGAACATCATGTAGAAACGCAATGCCACAATGAGGGCAAGAAATTGGACTGTCCCCATTGTCATTTCAAGTTTCAATATCAGGAGAATCTTACCAAGCACATTCGCACACTTCATGTCCGCAAGCCATCGATGCTTGTAACGGAGTCTTCGAGTCCCCGACCATTCCAGTGTCCACAGTGCGACCGCACCTTTGCTGTTCATGGCTGTATGACAAGGCACATACGCAATGTGCATCATAGCGAGCAAGTGGCGATCAAAAAGAGCAAGTACCTTTGCTCACTTTGTGGCTTAGATGCACTAAGCCCTAGCAAACTGACTATTCATATGCGCCGGCATACTGGTGATAAGCCATTCAAATGCGATCTTTGCGATAAGGCCTATCCGGTTTACTTCGAACTCAAAGTCCACCGCCGTCAGCATACGGGTGAGCAGCCATTCCAATGTTCAGTTTGTGGCAAGGCTTTCGCACGGCAGGATAAATGGAAGCAACATGTGCTGACACATGGCATTAAAAACTAAATCCATTCCATAATAGAAATTAGATCGGAATTAATTGTTTAATTCATTGATTGATTGTACAATAGCTGTTTTTAGCACATGAGAGTCGATCGCCATTTGTAGAATACAATGTTTGCCGTCCTTTCTAAAATTATTTTGAAATAAAGAATGAAAGTATGAAACCGGTTCACACCCACTTCTTATCAAATACATGTATAATCTCCCGACAAGGACAATAAAATACTTAAGTTATAAAGTTTGCACGACAAAGAATTTAAAATATTGTAAATAAATCAAAAATGGATCCCTTCCCTACCACGTGCTTTTAAATTAATGGAATGTGCCTTCTTCCATTTGAATGTTATATCGAATTTATCGGTCTTCAGAATTTTAAACATTTTGTAGTTTAAAGAGGTAGCTTTATACACTTTATGTATTCGAGAATTTATTAAGTTGCCTTTTGGCACCATTTTAATTGCGAACGTTTGATCGAATCCCAAAACCTTGCTACTTGTTGCAAACATCAAAATTTGCAACTTTTGCAGCCAAAAGTACAGCCATTCAAGAAGTCATAAACTATTGAAATAGATTATTTGAAGTTATGAGCAACTGCTGTTGCAAGAACTGCTTTCCTTTACACAGCGAACACGTAAATATCCACGTATGTATGTGAGACCATTGAAAATGAAAGACTTAAATTGCATGCATATTCCGTCCCAACTGTATTCTGGTTTCAGAGGAATAGTATTAAACATACTTAACTCTTTACACACTAATTGATATTATAACTTAGTTTTATACTCGCCCCAGCACAACATTCGATGGCTTATTAATTTGCTATCATACCGTAAGTAAATGAGCGGCAAGTAGAGGATAAATGTTCGAAAAATGCATCTGGAAGATTTTGTTTTTTTTTTAAATCAATTTAAACTGATATTTCTATGCACTCTTTTGAGTGGCCGCGATCTTTAAGTTTTCTAGTAAAATACTTGTACATAAATAATTTATTTTATTGCAATTTATTTTCGCTAATTAAAGTAGTCACATTGATATGTTACAGTTTATTCAATTTGGTAAGTGCAAACCAATTTCACTAGAGCCTGTCCATTTCGAGATCTTACAGGCATTCAGTCTCACGCACATAAATAATTTATTATACAAAGATAATACTAAGACTAAAACTATGGAACGATGTGTTTGTGAATTCGCTTAGTCCACCTCTTCGACAGTGGGACCATTGTAGCTGGCTCCCCCGAAACCTCCCGACTGTTGACCGCAGTTGGCAGCGTTCGGCTGACCACCCGCCTGATGCATTTTGGTCATTATGGGCGAGCAATGCTGTGTCAGCTCCTTGAGCCTGTACTCGAACTCGTCCTTCTCGGCGGTGGTGTTCGTATCCAACCATTTTATGGTCTCGTTGCACTTCTCCAGCAACGAGGATTTGTCGCTCTCGCTGAGTTTGTCTGCACTGGCTTGTTCCGCAGCCTGCTTCACGCCAAAGACATAGCTTTCCAGACTGTTGCGTGCCGCTATGCGCTGGCGGTGTTTCTCATCCTCCTCGGCGTAGCGCTCGGCTTCGTTCACCATGCGGTCGATCTCCGCCTGCGACAGACGACCCTTGTCGTTCTTGATCGTGATGTTCTTCGCCTTGCCTGTACTCATCTCCTTGGCCGTCACATTCAGGATGCCGTTGGCGTCCATATCAAAGGTGACCTCGATTTGGGGCACGCCACGAGGCGCTGGCGGAATTCCGGAGAGGTCGAATGTGCCCAGTGCGTTGTTGTCGCGCGTCATGGCACGCTCGCCCTCGTACACCTGAATGGAGACACCAGGCTGGTTGTCCGCATACGTGGAGAAGGTCTTGGTCTGCTTGCAAGGTATGCGGCAGTTTCGTTCAATCAACTTCGTCATTACGCCACCGGCGGTTTCAATGCCCAAAGATAGTGGCGCCACGTCCACAAGCAGCACGTCCTGGATCTTGCCACTCTGGTCGCCGCTAAGAATGGCAGCCTGCACTGCGGCTCCGTAAGCCACAGCCTCGTCGGGGTTGATAGACAGGTTCAGACTCTTTCCGCAGAAGAATTGCTGCAAAAGGCTCTGAACCTTAGGAATGCGTGTGGAGCCACCGACCAGCACAATATCGTGAATTTGCTGCTTGTCCATCTTGGCGTCGTTCAGCGCTTTCTCCACTGGTGCCAGTGTCTGGCGGAAGAGGTCGGCGCACAACTCCTCGAAGCGGGCGCGGCTCACCTTCGTGTAAAAGTCCTGGCCCTCGAACAATGCATCTATTTCAATGGTAGCCTCAGTGCTGGACGAAAGCGTCCGCTTCGCACGCTCAGCTGCTGTTCGCAGACGTCGCAGTGCACGTGGATTGGAGCGCAGATCCTTCTTGTACTTGCGCTTGAACTCGTCCGCCAAATGGGTCACCAGGCGGTTGTCAAAGTCCTCGCCACCCAGATGAGTGTCGCCGGCAGTAGCTCGCACCTCAAATAGCGAGCCCTCGTCGATGGTCAGTATGGAGACATCGAAGGTGCCACCGCCAAGATCAAATATCAACACATTTCGCTCTCCCTTGAGGTTCTTATCGAGGCCGTAGGCGAGAGCTGCAGCCGTCGGTTCATTGATAATTCGCAGGACATTCAGGCCGGCAATGTGACCTGCATCTTTGGTGGCCTGGCGCTGGGAATCATTGAAGTAGGCGGGAACTGTGATAACGGCGTCTGTGATGGTCTGTCCCAGATACGCCTCTGCTGTCTCCTTCATCTTCGTGAGTACCATGGAGCTGATCTCTTCCGGTGCAAACCTTTTCTGTTCGCCCTTAAACTCGACACCAATCTTCGGCTTTCCACCTTCGCTGATTACCTTAAATGGCCAGTGCTTGATGTCCTCCACAATTTTGGGATCGTCATATTTGCGACCAATCAATCGCTTCGCATCGAAAACTGTGTTCTTTGGATTCATTGCCACCTGGTTCTTGGCCGCGTCGCCGATGAGGCGCTCAGAGTCTGTGAATGCCACATAGCTGGGCGTAGTGCGGTTGCCTTGGTCGTTGGCAATAATCTCCACCTTTCCGTGCTGGTAAACACCCACGCAGGAGTACGTGGTGCCCAAGTCAATACCAATAGCAGGCATTTTGGTTTTCCTTGCTTCTTTACTTTACTTTTCTTCAAACACTTAAACGAAACTTGTTGCTAAAGTTCAATTCTTTTTCAACGTTGTACTTTTTAGCTTTATTTTATTTAATTATTTCACTTGTGGATGTAAACGCTTTGGTTTAAATATTTTTTTCGCTTGGTTGCCTTCTTGTTGCTTAGCTTTCGCTTCACGATGTGTTTGCTTTGATTGCTTGATTTCAATTGTGCCGAAGAGAAATTCAGTGGCCCTATTTATACTCGGGCGGTCTATAGTGGAAATTTCGAGACCCGCTCTTCGAGAAGCTTCTCGATTATCCGGAATATCTGTGCGCGCGCGAGCGGGATGACTATAGGTTCCTTTTTTGGTGGCGAGTGAGAAGGTAATTTTAAGAGAGGGAGAATGCTTGCATTTGTATGTATGAATGCACATATGTATGTACATAAGTAGACATCTGCCGAACCATAGATATATAAATAAAATCGAATTATATGTACATATGTTTATGCATGTATGATTCTTTTTACGTATTGATAGTAGTAGTAATTACTTTAGTACGTATGTACATACGTAGTAGATTTTTGATATGAATATTGTCCCTTTTAGAATGAAATTATTTTAGCTGAAATATTTAATGCACTATCATATCTATACTAATATTATAAAGAGGAAAGATTTAATTGTTTGTTTGTTTGTTTGAATTGAAAAGGCTCCGAATTTACTGGACCGATTTAATATATATTTGGAAGAATGGAATCCTTACTAAAATGCCAATAATGTAACCAAAGGTGTAAACAAATTGCTTTAAAAAACTCCTAAATAGCATGCTGTTAGTTCATAATCATCATCGAAACATTGTCACTTTAAATATTAAGGCAATATTATTCATAAGCCCCCAGCCAAATAAAAAACAAGTAAAAAAGCTAAAGTCGGGTGTCCCGACTTTGAAATACTCTGTACATATGTTTACAATAAGTATAGAAAATAAAAAAAATTAAAAAAATAAAAAAAAATTCAATGATCGATTTTACCTTTCTCGGTGTTCGAACTCAAGGGTGTATAATTGCACATTTACATAGCAATTGCGTCTGTGTAAGTGTATGTATGCCTAAGCGCATCTATTCGTGTCTGTGTAAGCATTTTCGCAGTCAACCAAACAGCAACATCAACAACAGCCGCGGGCAGCGCTTGAGCAGCGCTGCAGCAGCAAATATATTTATGGCTATAACTTCTTGGTAAATCGGTCTATCATAGTGAAACTTGGCATACGGACACATAATTACTAACTGGGGGTATTTGCAATTTTAGTTCGAAATTCCAAGAATTACGGGAGTTAGAGAAAATCGCATTTGCGGGGGAGAGGGGGGAGGGAGGGAAATTCCAAAATATACATTTTCTGCGTATTCACACAAGGCACCTTGGACTAAAATTTGGTGTTTCTAGGTCTTATGGTCTCCGAGATATATGCGATTATACGAATGGGAAATCAGGAAAACCACCATAGGGGGAAGTGGGGGGGGGGGGGGGAATCAAAAAAATAAAGCAAACTCGTATAGAATACACACATAAAGCATCTTTGTGCAAAATTTGGTGTCTCTATCTCTTATAGTCTCTGAGATCCAGGTGTTCATACGGACGGACAGACAGACAGACAGGCCTAGATCGACTCGTCTCGTCATGCTGATCAATAATATATACTTTGTGGGGTCTGCCACGCCTCCTTCTGCCTGTTACATTTTTCAGCTCCCGCAAACCTAATATACTCTTGTACATTTCATGTACAGAGTATAACAAGTAAAAAAGCTAAAGTCGGGTGTCCCGACTTTGAAATATTCTGTACATATGTTTAGAAAAATTATAGAAATGAAAAAAATTAAGAGAATTAAAAAAAAAAGTTTTGGTCGATTTTACCTCTTTTGGTATTCAAACTCACGTAAAGGGTGGTACAATTGCACATTTACATAGCAATTGCGTCTATGTGAGTGTATGTACATATGTTTATGCGCGTCTATTCGTGTCTGTATAAGCAACAGCTGGGGACAGCGCTTGAGCAGCAAATATATTTATGGCTATAACTTCTTGTTAAATCAGTCTATCATAGTGAAACTTCTCATACGGACACATAATCACTAATTGGGGATATTTGCAATTTGAGTTCGAAATTCCAAGAATTAAGGGAGTTACGAGGGGGAGGGAGAGAAATTCCAAAATAAACATTTTCTGCGTGTTCACAAAATCATCTGGGACTAAAATTTGGTGTCCCTAGTTCTTATAGTCTCCGAGATTATACGAATGGAAAATCGGGAAAACCCCCATAGGGGGAAGTGGGGGGAAAATCAAAAACACTTTGTGCAAAATTTGGTGTCTCTACTCTTATAGTCTCTGACATCCAGGTGTTCATACGGACAGGCAGACAGGGCTATATACTTTGTGGGGTCTACCACGCCTCCTCCTGCCTGTTACTCAAGTACAGAGTATACAAATATTTTTACTAAGAAGAGTTTAAATATCTTCAACAGGCTGAGCTCACTGTATTTGTTATGGTAGGTCGAAGATTTTGTTGATATTCAAGCAACAACAACAAAGTAGCGAATGATTCTAGAAATTTCTTTACACTTATTTGATTTCTGTGCTAGTTTGTTAAAACAAGCATTCTCCCTCTCTTAAAATTACCTTCTCACTCGCCACCACAAAAGGAACCTATAGTCATCCCGCTCGCACGCGCACAGATATTCCGGATAATCGAGTAGCTTCTCGAAGAGCGGGTCTCGAAATTTCCACTATAGACCGCCCGAGTATAAATAGGGCCACTGAATTTCTCTTCGGCACAATTGAAATCAAGCAATCAAAGCAAACACATCGTGAAGCGAAAGCTAAGCAAGAAGAAGGCAACCAAGCGAAAAAAAATATTTAAACCAAAGCGTTTACATCCACAAGTGAAATAATTAAATAAAATAAAGCTAAAAAGTACAACGTTGAAAAAGAATTGAACTTCAGCAACACAAAGTTTCGTTTAACTGTTTGAAGAAAAGTAAAGTAAAGAAGCAAGGAAAACCAAAATGCCTGCTATTGGTATTGACTTGGGCACCACGTACTCCTGCGTGGGTGTTTACCAGCACGGAAAGGTGGAGATTATTGCCAACGACCAAGGCAACCGCACTACGCCCAGCTATGTGGCATTCACAGACTCTGAGCGCCTCATCGGCGACGCGGCCAAGAACCAGGTGGCAATGAATCCAAAGAACACAGTTTTCGATGCGAAGCGATTGATTGGCCGCAAATATGACGACCCCAAAATTGTGGAGGACATCAAGCACTGGCCATTTAAGGTAATCAGCGAAGGTGGAAAGCCGAAGATTGGTGTCGAGTTTAAGGGCGAACAGAAAAGGTTTGCACCGGAAGAGATCAGCTCCATGGTACTCACGAAGATGAAGGAGACAGCAGAGGCGTATCTGGGACAGACCATCACAGACGCCGTTATCACAGTTCCCGCCTACTTCAATGATTCCCAGCGCCAGGCCACCAAAGATGCAGGCCACATTGCCGGCCTGAATGTCCTGCGAATTATCAATGAACCGACGGCTGCAGCTCTCGCCTACGGCCTCGATAAGAACCTCAAGGGAGAGCGAAATGTGTTGATATTTGATCTTGGCGGTGGCACCTTCGATGTCTCCATACTAACCATCGACGAGGGCTCGCTATTTGAGGTGCGAGCTACTGCCGGCGACACTCATCTGGGTGGCGAAGACTTTGACAACCGCCTGGTGACCCATTTGGCCGACGAGTTCAAGCGCAAGTACAAGAAGGATCTGCGCTCCAATCCACGTGCACTGCGACGTCTGCGAACAGCAGCTGAGCGTGCGAAGCGGACGCTTTCGTCCAGCACTGAGGCTACCATTGAAATAGATGCATTGTTCGAGGGCCAGGACTTTTACACGAAGGTGAGCCGCGCCCGCTTCGAGGAGTTGTGCGCCGACCTCTTCCGCCAGACACTGGCACCAGTGGAGAAAGCGCTGAACGACGCCAAGATGGACAAGCAGCAAATTCACGATATTGTGCTGGTCGGTGGCTCCACACGCATTCCTAAGGTTCAGAGCCTTTTGCAGCAATTCTTCTGCGGAAAGAGTCTGAACCTGTCTATCAACCCCGACGAGGCTGTGGCTTACGGAGCCGCAGTGCAGGCTGCCATTCTTAGCGGCGACCAGAGTGGCAAGATCCAGGACGTGCTGCTTGTGGACGTGGCGCCACTATCTTTGGGCATTGAAACCGCCGGTGGCGTAATGACGAAGTTGATTGAACGAAACTGCCGCATACCTTGCAAGCAGACCAAGACCTTCTCCACGTATGCGGACAACCAGCCTGGTGTCTCCATTCAGGTGTACGAGGGCGAGCGTGCCATGACGCGCGACAACAACGCACTGGGCACATTCGACCTCTCCGGAATTCCGCCAGCGCCTCGTGGCGTGCCCCAAATCGAGGTCACCTTTGATATGGACGCCAACGGCATCCTGAATGTGACGGCCAAGGAGATGAGTACAGGCAAGGCGAAGAACATCACGATCAAGAACGACAAGGGTCGTCTGTCGCAGGCGGAGATCGACCGCATGGTGAACGAAGCCGAGCGCTACGCCGAGGAGGATGAGAAACACCGCCAGCGCATAGCGGCACGCAACAGTCTGGAAAGCTATGTCTTTGGCGTGAAGCAGGCTGCGGAACAAGCCAGTGCAGACAAACTCAGCGAGAGCGACAAATCCTCGTTGCTGGAGAAGTGCAACGAGACCATAAAATGGTTGGATACGAACACCACCGCCGAGAAGGACGAGTTCGAGTACAGGCTCAAGGAGCTGACACAGCATTGCTCGCCCATAATGACCAAAATGCATCAGGCGGGTGGTCAGCCGAACGCTGCCAACTGCGGTCAACAGTCGGGAGGTTTCGGGGGAGCCAGCTACAATGGTCCTACTGTGGAGGAGGTGGACTAAGCGAGCTGTCATACAGTTCTAGGGGCGGGGGGTTAGCTTTCAAGTATAGTCGTAGCACATAAAATTAAGTATTACAATTTATTTATGTATTTTACGTTGAGACTGATTAAGATGTTTGTTTCGCCAAACTAAATTTATAATTTAATGGAAACGTATCTAAAAACGAAATTGGTTTGCACCAACAAATATCAAAAACGCTGTAGTATAAAATGTTCCTAGTCTACCTATACATAATTGATTAAAATAAAATAATTTATTTCAAATTAAAGATAGTCTGATCTTTTTCTTTGTAATACTTACGTTCGTATCAAATTTCCCAGGGGAGAGTAAAACTTTTAAATAAGAAATTTCTACAAGAATCGTTTTTTTGTGGGCGTATTATTGTAAATGGTGGAAACGGTCTCATATTTTTGGCACGCCAATGTAAAAGATAAGAATCCTTTCAATGGGAGGTAGTAGATAGTTGTCCCATGAGTCAACTTGTGTAACATCATTGGACGTGAGAGCGAAACAGAAGCATATGTCGATTAAATGATATCATGATAGTTTTTCCCGTGTTATGTCTTATTCCTTATGTGTAGAATGTAATGATATTTCAAAAATGTTTCAAATAACAACAATGCTTTTCACATAAGAAGAAGTTTGCAAAGTATATACTATACTAAAATAATTAATTAAGATGGATTTAGGGATAAACGTTATATTTGTCAAGATATACAGGTGTACATTAATGATATCTGACAAAAAATGACCAGTCAAGATTGTATTTAACAAGAAAGAAATGCTAATGTCGAGCTCAACTCTTAAATACCCTGTACCTCCCACCAAAAAGGAAAAAAATATTAAATATTAATTGAATTATTTAATTAAATTAAATACAAATTATTCAATACATACATATATTATATGCGTGCATGTATGCAACACAAAGTTGAACCAAAGCAGCAACAACAACAACAGCTGCGGGGAGAGCTCCAGACAGCGCATGGGCGGCGATTTTATTTATGGCTATAACTTTCTTCAGAATTGACCTATCATGATGAAACTTGGCACACGGACACACAAGCACTAACTGGATGTAACTACCTTGATTTCAAAATTCCATGAATTACGGAAGTTATACAAAAAACACGAATTACGGGGGAGTGGGGGGTGTATCAGAATAAAAACACAAACTTGACCTGCCTAGAGCTCAGGGGAACCTGGATACCAAGTTTGGTCATTCTAGCTCTTGTACCTTCTGAGATCCTTGCGCTCATGGACGGACATGGCTATATCGACTCGGTTTGTCACCCTGATGAAGAATATATATACTTTGTGGGGTCTGCCACGCCTCCTTTTGCGTGTTACATACATTCGCACAAAACTAGGATAGGCTTTCCCTCTTTGGGTACAGGCTATAAAAATAAATAGGCGACACTCGCGATTGCTCATTGGCCGCTTTTCTTTTAACAACTTTAAATTCCGGACACAGCTATTAATGCAGTTAAAATACTTTCGTTTCTATTCACTTTTTAAAAACTTGTTCTCGGTGCTGACTGGACTCGTCTGCACTCTCTGACGGTAGGAAATAGAAAAGGCCGAAGGTTAGCTTCTATCGTCTGATATAGCCCTTTCCATGGGCGTAGCCAGGATTTAGTCCAGGGGGCGCAAGATTTTTTTGGCCGATTTTTTACTATCAAATTATTTGCACTCTAAAAAAACACATGAAAAATATGGAAGAATAGGAAAAAATTAAATTCAAAATATTGAAAATTTGAAATTTCAAATGCAATAAAATGTAAAAAACTTCCTAGAAAATAAGAAGATTTGTGATCGTGGAACTAATATAAAGTTGGCCCCATGCGACATCGAGAGTGTAAAATTTAAGAATTTGAAATTATGTATTCTTACATAAATGATAAATTTTTATATACTTTAAAATGATTGAAATCTAGATGAATAACACCGGCTGCGAAAAAAATAAAGTGGCGTGCAAACGGGGAGAAAAATATGTAATTTTTCTAATGGGTCCTGCTCTCAGTTTGAAAATCAATTTATAGTATCAACTCTAGTTAGAATAGAATTTGTTTACAAGCTAAAATGGAATGGGAGCCGTATCTGGGGTCGGGGCAGTTATCAAAAGCACGTTATGGCAGATAAAGAAATCTAAAATCATTTTGTTTCGACAGTTCAGAACTGAAACTGCATTTTCTGAACTGTTATACCAAAACTATTTTTAAGAGACAATAATGCACAACGTTTTAAAATTAGGCGCATTAATATATATTGCCTCAGGTTTCGATAAAATCAGCGAACTGTTGGCCGGTAAAACAACTTATTTGCCCCGTTGCCCAAAATCAACCTTAGCACTAAATATAGGGCTAGTAAAGAGTTATAAGTTGGGCATATATATATAGGTATATATTCTCAACATTATATCTTCAGAGCAATCTAGCTGATAAATTAACCGTAGCCATAAAATGGATATTTTTTCGTGATTTTTGTACAATGCGGCACAAATTCAAATTTGTCTGCAACATTTTTGATCCATTCAGAATCTAGGGGGGGGGGGGGGGGGGGGTGGGGGTTCAGCTGCCCGCTTTGCACCCCCCTCGCTACGGCCATGGCGCCATGATAGGAGATAGGATAAAATTTTCGCCATGCCAACCGTCAACAACTAAATAAGGCCGCTAGGTGGCGCTAAGTGTAACAATAAATATTTACGATCTACAACCGTTGGAGCCTCGATAAAAGCCCCTATTAGAATCATTTTGTTTTTTTTAGAATGTTCTTTTATTTGTTTATAGAAATTGTGTTTTGAAACAATAATTAGAATTTCGAATTGCTGTCTCCAAGGTATAGCTTATCGTCGTCCGATCCCAAAATTATAAGGAGGAAGAGCCCGGACGTAATTTAAACGATAATCATCTGAAAGAAAATGTTATACTTTGTATACCCTCGGACTTCAAAAAAGTCTTAAGAGACTTTAACTTATAATAAAGCAAATAAAGTTTATGTAATAATAATTACTTGGGGTTTGATGGGGTTCTTGAATTATTAAATAAATGTAATTCCGATGGAACATACAAGTATGAACAGAAAGAACATAGGTGTGCAAATTTTTGTATAAGTCTGTGGTAATAATAATAATTTTCCAATGAATAATTTGATTTTATAAAATTATTGAACGGTCAGAAAATGCAGTATTAGGGTAATAAATGTATTGATCGATTGAGATTGAGATGTTTTTAATTTTCAAGACCGGTAAAAAAATATAATCCACGGGACTGCGATTTATTATTGGAATAGTCAAATGAATCTGTCTGCGCTGCTTCATACTATGTGTATATGGAATATATATTTACTCCGCTCAGATGACAGCTAAAAGCTCACAAGACATTTTTATTATCTATACTATTATAAAGAGGTAACATTTGATTTTTGTTTATTTGAATTGAAAAGGCTCCGAAGCTATTAGAAAGAATTCATTGTAGGAAAGCTACACTATCCCCGGCTAACATAGGTAATATATTAACAAAAAAGATAGGAATCCATACTAGAACACCAATGAAATGGCTTACTTAGAAAGCTCCTGAACAGGGTGCTGTTAGTTCAGAATCATCCTCTAAACATTATATCACTTTAAATATTAAGGCAATATTATTCAAAAGGCTCCAGTAACTCAGTTAGTAACTCATAGCAAAAAGAAGGGTGTGAGTGTGTGTGTGTAACTAGAATTGGAAGACGTTACCCGCTTTCTCTAGCTATCCATACATACAGCTTATTAAACTGCAATGTTGTATTCACTTTGCGAACTCACTGTAAGGGTACGCACCACGATAATAAATTCCCGGGGGCCCCTGCGCGAGTGAGTAGAAGACGCTGCTCAGGCAGAAGACCGCCAGCAATAAAATTTTGGCGTACATAGCGTTTATGTCTTTTGGAAGAAGATGATATTTCGTCTGTTTGGCTATAAATAGAAGCGAGAGAGAAGATGGGCTAATGGCAAAATTAAGGATTCCAAACAGGTAGAGCTATGAGTTCCACCCTTAAGAAATGAGGGCTTCTGTGGTTAGTTTTAAAGAGCACCAACAGTCGAAAATGTTCAAATAAATCATTTGTAGAATCAGATGTAAAGCCAATATTTCTCAATTAATTTAATTTCACATTCAGGTGCTGTGATCTCTCAAACCTCAGTGATCAGTGACTCGGTCACTTACCAAAGAAGATCCATATCTTCGGCTGAACAACTCAACCGAAACTTAAAACTTTGGATATTATAGCTAGTACCAAAAATATTTACCCGAAATTTATGGTGATGTTCACTTCGATGCGAATATAACAATAGAAACAGAACACTCTTGCACCATTATATATACCCGTAGTTAATTCGAAACGATCACCGTAAAGTTATGAAATAATTGTGTATCGAGAAAACGGTCTCTATGTCAGGTTCATACCCCTTTGGTCACAAGGGTATTTGTTCTGTATAGCGTTTTAAATTCAGCATCTCTAATGTAGCATCTGATTATATAACGGTGTATCTGGTAAGGCGGGGAGTAACTGCTATGTATCGAATTGCTATCGAATTATCACAAAGGACAGCAGGACAGGTAGTTGCGAATGCACCCACATATGGCGTGATGCCTATATATATATAACGAATATAACGCAAAAGTGGAGGGGTAGCAGACCCAACAAAGTATGTATATACTTGTATATATTTTTTTAATCAGGCTAGACGAATCACCCGTCTGTTTGCACAAAAGGTTCTCAGGAAGTACTTGTTGTCCAGGTTCCCCAATGCCTTAGGCAGAAAAATTGTATGTTTTTTATACATTGTACCCAAGGGGTAAAAGGGTATGCTAATTTTGTGCGAATGTTACATACATGTAAGGAGGCGTGGCGGACCCCACAACGTGCATATATTCTTGATTGGGATGACGAGGCGAGTCGATATAGCCATGCCCGTCAGTATGACCACAAGGATCTCAGTAGGTACAAGCTGGGATAGAGAACCAATATCTAGGTTTCCCTAAGCCGTAGGCAGGCCAAGTTTGTATATTTTTCTGTCAGGACAAACTATTTTATAATTTAATTCTAGAAATTACTAGCTCTGAATGTCACATTATTTATACATACATACATATATACAGGGTGTGCCATCTTTTATGTCGGTATGTAAATAT